TTCTGTGTTCTCCAGCTTTCAATCTTCATATGTACATTTATCCGACGTTTTTACGGTGAAGGGTTTTCCTTCCTGTGACATATCTGCAAAGAAATTTAAAGATATGTGTAAGGTCAACCAACCTGCACTGGGCCAGTGTGGATTACTATGGCCTAGTCACCCCTAATTTAGCGTAGTACGTATAGTGAGCTGATGATAATATCAGAGTACTTTCATCCGAAATGTAAAGCTGTCTTCACACGTTTAGTTTAACTGAATAGTCAAACGGTTCAGTAAAAATGTAAGCTGTGTAGCTGGCCTATCAGTCTAGCATTGTAAAGTGTTGCGCAGTGAATCATACACAAGTAAAATAGCTTAATGTATTTTGAACAGTTACAACATGACTAGTATTCTCGACTAGTCGTGTTTTGTAAATATACGTTCCAGAGAACTGCGTGACTTGTATACAAAAAAATCGCAACGTCTGTTTGTCTGGCGTACCACGATGAAACTTTTGAGTGATATTCTTTGTTGTGGTAATAAATAACGAGTTTTAATGCGTTAGTCCTTGTTAATTATAACTTCCACACAAAATAAATTGGAAAATAATATGAAATTCTTATATATAAACGGCTAAACACTCACGTATATTCGTTCTGTGAGCGACGGGCCGAATCTGCGAAATAATAGCAATCGGACTCACCCTAATGAAGGGCCCCCGATGGGCTCTAAACTAGTCGGTACCACCACCGGACAAATATACGTGAGTGTTTAGCCGTTTTTATATAAGTTAATTAGAATGTCTCAGGAAAGTTTTAATAATTTAATATGAATTTCATTTCTCTTTGTGTAGAGAAATCTAATGAATTTATCATGGACATATTAAAAGTTTTGACTCAGAAATCCACGGTAAAACAAGCAAAACCCTTCTCAATATCTATCAAAATGAAACTTATTGTGATCGTATTAAATAATCGTTTTATACTTTAAAGGATATAAGGTATTATAAATATGTAGAATAAAGATTATATTAGCTTATAACATAAGTGAATGATAAATTAAAATGCTGAATGCATCGTTGGTAAGTAGAGGGACAATACGCTCTTACGATGTCAGATAAAGGCGCACCGTGTCCTATAAATTACATAACAAATAAACATCACGCTTGTAAAGTCAGTAATCATTTGACACTATGACGTAATAGATAAACAGCTCAAGCTATAACACCCATGACTATGGGTGATTTCGTTTCATTATCGTCATCAAGTAAGAAATGACGAAGAAAGTAGAGTACTTTTTTCATATAATACGGTGGTAAACGAGCAAGGAACATTGATATCCGCAATTGCAAATACCTTTAATCAAAGGAGTACGGGACGAACATAAAGGAAATATTTCCCCTACCTATGCGTACCCCTCTCTGTCAAATCCACTTCCCCTTCCCATCCTTTCATAATAAGAAATGGGCGGGATGGGGACGAAAATTAGGCCTCCGGCACGCACACTGTTCAGACTAAGCGTAGATTTGCTTCCACCTCACTCCTGTGTTCGTGGTATTCCAGCGGTGGAACCAGCAAATTCAGATGTTATTGTTGGCATCTACCACTGATAATATGTACATCTATCTATCACTGAATCTACATCTATCACTGAATATCGTTTATCTTGAATAAAACTGTGAGTAAAAACATTTTAGCTAAGCAATGATAATTTTAATTTACTGACGTCATTCCTCATCGTTAGTTTCAATAACATTATTTTCGCCGTCTTTGTAACACTATTAAAAACTACGTAAACGTATAATTAGGTACTAAAAGAAACTTCAAATCTAACACGAACAAGCAGACTAAAGTTCAATGTCATATATAGTATTGAATTAACACATACAACTTAGCCTTTAAAATTAAATACATAGTTCATTTCAATATATGATTTTAAATTAATATAAAACATAAGTAGACTCGGCGTAAAACTTGCAAAGTAAATGAGTAAATTATACAATATTAGATGTTGTTAAATTATTCACTGTTAGCATACATTTAAAAGTTTAACTATGAATACATAATTTAAAGGAAATAAACAATTCATACTTGACAATGCATTTGAACTTTGCCTTATCAGCCTTCTTTCGTCGTATTTATTCGAATAAAAATGATTGAACGATTGTATGTATATATATTTTTTATTTTTTTTATTTTGTAGATAAATTCCTAGTCCGATACACATTAATTATATATACGAGTATACAAGAGCGTCTGTGTCTCAGGTGTTAAGCATTTAACTTATCATTTGCAGGTCCTGGTTCGTATATGTAACAATGTGTTTTTCGAATTACATATTTACGATTATCCGACGTTCTTACTGTGAACGAAAATATGCTGCATCACCCTGTACATATCTGCTAAGTCATTTCAAGTTCTGTGTGAAGTCAACCAACTTAATCTAATTGAGGATAGGCTCAATACCTTAATGGGCCTCCACATATCTGACGATGATACTTAATTTTATAATTAAGGTATCTTGTAGATTTATAAATAACATAATTTAGTTTAGTAAATCACTTAGGATCCCGTTTAAATCTTTTGTACTAAACTATAGACTTCGCCTTAAGTTAATATATTTGTGTATACATTTGAATGTATTTCAAAACAATCCTTCTCTTTGTTTTATCTTGATCTAGATCTGTCTTTTAATCGTAACAACGATTGAATGAATAGTAATTTGAATGACCGGAGCCTGCGCTTATTTTACATCGACTATTGTATGCAATTCGTTCACTAACAATGGACATCCATACAAGTGATTGCAAAAATGCTTATCAAATAAGATTTAAATACTGAGAAATGTATGTCAATAAAGTATAGGATAAATTGAATGTTTCTTTTGTTTAATAGTAAGCAACGTTTTTTTTGTCTACGAACTATAACCATAAAGTTTGTATAGATAATATTAGTGGTCGCCCAATGGTCGAAATTCGTACATAATTCTTATTCGAAACATTTTTAAACAAAAAAAAGTTTTATGCGTATCTTCTTCATTAACTGTAATTGTTTCAAATTTAACGCTTATTTATCCTCGCAATTTCCTAAAAAACGGTTAAAAATGTAGCTTCATATATTTATGTATATCCGATTATTTATATCAAAAGATATAAAAGCTTATATTTGTTTCAGATAAATAACAAGGTCCTATATACAAGGTGAAGGTTTCATTTATAATGTAAATAATAACTTATGTAATGTAAAAAATTTAAATTCTTTAGCGCAAAGTGATAATATTAAATGTTTTTGACCTTAGTATGTTGTTCACCTTTCGTAACAGATATGTACTTTGAAATAAAGTTATTTACTTAAACGTAAATAAGTACACGATCGTGGGCGATGACAATTAACAAACATAAGTAAACTGCGTACTGACACAATAAAATAATAAATTGCAATTATTGTTTAGTAAATCTTTCGGTGCATTATATATAAAATAAAATAAAAACTAATAAATAAATTAGGGAAAATAATTGATTAAGTTATATATAACCCCTTAACGGTCAGTTTCTGACACCAAAATATCTGTATAAAACATATCCTCATTAAAACATATCTTTGACAAAACAAAAATAACAGTACGTTTTAAGTGGGGATTTTGGTCATAGAAACCCACGGTAAATCATTTAAAATACAACTCTATTACAATTGGTTTCGACTGTCCAAGTATATATTGTCATCGCTTTCTTTTCTATTTGATATAACAGAGACAACTACATGTACAAGTGTCACGTCAGTGTTATTTCACGGTAACTAATAAAACTATTATATAACCCAACAAACATATATCTATATATCACTTATTGCATAATAATCGTACTTGAACTTGACCTTGTTGTATATAACATACTAATTATCGATTAATTGTTCTGACATAAGATACTTATTTGAAAAAAGTGCACTCTTACTAATATTGTAAATGCAATTTGGATGTTTGTTAGATAGTATATTCAGAACGGTGCAACGATTCTTGCTGAAAATTGGCATGGATGTAGAATATATGAGTAGGCAAGAATGAAACAGATAAGCTACTAAGGTACTTTTTTACGTCCGCGCAAACGAACACGCTTATTTGTTTCATAATCCTGCATATTTAAAACTAGCTGTCGCTCGCGATTCCGTCCGCGCGGAATTAAAAAAAAACTATTTAGTTGTGTTCCTATGTGTTCTTCCAGACTATGATCTATATGTATGCCATATTTCAGGGAGATCCTTTCAGATGTTCTGGAGATACCTTCAACCAAACATCCATCCAAACATTCGCATTTATAAAATTAGTAAGAATAAGATTAGGCACTTAGTCGTACGGTAGATAATTTGCGCAGCCGAAATACTTCAACAAAAAATTGTGTTGTCTATATTTTTTCAAGGAGAATGACGAGCTGAATGTTATATTTTGTACATTTTTGTATTTTAATATTAAACATGTATATGTTTAGTTTTCAATATTTTTTCTTGGCATCTAAAATTTTAATTGCAACCCATTCTGGGTTCAACTAGATTTCTATCAGTTGTATATTTTCCTTTTAAAGCAAATGTTAGATGATATCTTAAAACAGTTAAAACAACGGATTCGTACATGTTCAATGCTCCTCCTAAAGTCACAAAGAGTGTACAATCTGCATTCAAAGCACTCCATACCACGAAACCGATGTCAATCATTGTGTAGGCCGAGGAACTTACATTGAATATAAAGTCCTGTACGTAATACCGTCTTTACAACAAATAACAATTGTTAAGTACTCCTTTCTATCTTTAAGAAACTGTGAAGAAAATAATGTTTTTTTTTGGTATGCATACCACAACAAACACCAATAAACTTAAGCAAAATCATTGTGAATAAGAATCGAATTTAGTAAATTACTTTACCGTACTTATTAAACATTTGCGTCATTGCGACTTATTCTGGGTTTAACCAAATCCATTCCTGTTTTTCTCTATTAAAAATGTATGAATAATTAACAATATGAATTTTTGCAGATCATGCTCGGATATCAAGAGGTTATATTTGTTGGCGAGGCCGAAGAAAAACAAAGAGATCGTAAGACGACTACAGGAACAGTTCGACGATGTGGTAAGTGTGATGTAGCGTTTAAACGAATTATGCCCTTCGACTATTATCGTAAACCATGTCCTATTACAAGCATAGAGTTTAGTTGAAATGGTACGAGAAATATAAGGAAATTAACAAAAATCTGTTAATATTAACAAAAAATCTTATCGAACGTTTTCAATGTCGAATGCATTTATACTAAAAACCTATTATCATATCATAAAACAATGAAAATACAAAATATTTTGCATCAATGTTTTGGTAATGAAAACGGTATAGAAACTTGTAAATTATTACAAGCTCGGATGAAGAGAGGACAGAAGGACAGGACTCGTACGATGATTTGACAACTCTGCAATCATCGTATGAGTGTTATTACATAAATAAACAAGCTACCTCAAATACTTTGTTGATTCGAATAGCAAATATTATTAGTCGTAGTGCATAAATGATTTTGCACGTCTCCGAGAATACCTTAACAAATATACAGCTTTAAACATTATTGACGCTTTTTTACCAACCAAAAAAGTTGGTAAACGTGGAAGACGTAAAGTATAGATAATCGACTACTTCGACGTGTAAAATCTGTTTTTTATTACTTCTAATCACTAGTTTGTTATGGTTCTTTTTTGTAACATTTACGTAAGTAAATTAGTACTTTAAATGTTAGTTATAATCGAGACTAAATATGTAACTAAATTATTGTACATGCATACCCTATTTCAAATCATAATCAGCCTAAATTAGTCCACTGCTGAACATAGGCCTATTTTAAATATGTTTATCTATTACTATCTATCCTTAAGCCTATATTAAATTCGATTTTACTTACTAAAATTGCTGTAATTTGTTTACAGCTATATGACAAACTAAGGAAGGAGCAACCAAACTTCATCGAGAAAATTAGCATTATAGAAGGGGATGTCAGTCAATTGAATCTCGGTATTAGTAACGAAGATAGACAGAAATTAATCAGTGAGGTAAGGATTAAGCTATTTGATTTTATAATGTTCTATAAACCACGACAAGGAAGCAGGAAAAACAAGATTTAGAATATCGGAACTGATATTAACGAAAACTAAAACTGCATCATTGAAAAAGGATCCAACTGCTTAAAAGAACACACGTCATTCCAATCGTCGTAAGTGTTTTGAGGATATTATTATTTTTGAATTTAAAGCGCTTTTGCAGGTTGAATTCATTTTCCATGGCGCGGCGACGGTACGATTCGATGAAGCGCTGAAGACTGCTGTAGAGATCAACGTCAGAGGCACAAGGGAAATATTAACATTGGCTCGTGGCTGTTCCAAGCTAAGAGCTATGGTACATATATCCACAGCGTACAGGTACTTAAGCTTTTTCATCAGTAATCATTGCCAGTTTCAATATAAGACCCCTGTTCTATCGCCCTCATCTAGTGCTTCTCCACGACCTTAATCAAATCGTCTTTAAAATCTCTACTTTAGTCTTGATAATAACTGCTTGTTACAGTAATTGTCCATTGAAGGAAATAGAAGAAAAGTTCTATGAAAGTCCGTTAAGTGGCGAGAAATTGATCGACCTGGTTGAGAGTATGGATGAAAAGACCATCAATAATATAACGCCTGGGTAAGTGTACCTTTAGTGACAATGATTTTATTTTTGTGTTAACTTCGATTACAGAATTTATTATGCATCGGGAATAAATTTAAGAACGATTATCTTAATTGTTATATTTGTTCCATTCCTAGTTTACTCGGTGACTTCCCAAACACATACGCGTACACGAAGGCAGCCGCAGAAGATATTGTACAGACATATTCAAAAGGATTGCCAATTGCTTTATTCAGACCTGCTATCGGTAAGCTTTAATAACGAACTGTTTAATAAATGGGATTAAAAAATACATACTAAAATGCTATGTTAATTTTTTCGAAATTTTTCCAGTGGTTGGAACAGCCAAAGAGCCTATCGCAGGATGGATAGACAATGTTTATGGACCTACAGGGGTAAGAAAATAATTTTTAAATATTTTTCTGTTATGAACCACTTTGTAGATTCTCCCTTTTATCTTTTTAAACCGTCTCCTAACTCTTAATATTCTTTTCTCAGGTGGTTGTTGGTGCAGCAGTTGGACTTCTTCACGCGCTTAACTGCAATCCAAAGGCTGTAGCCGACCTCGTCCCTGGTGACATGGTAGTGAACGCGTGTATAGCAACAGCGTGGAAGACAGCACGAGACTACCCGGGTAACCATGAAGACGCGCCGCCAGTAGACCAGCCACCACCAGTCTACAACTACGTGTCTTCTGTTGAAAAACCGTTAACTTGGCGTAAGTATTAAGTTAAAAACTTTAAAAGATATTCAATTGAACTTTTCTATCAACAACGGATGGTTGTAGGAAGTGAAATAACTGTCAAATAAAGATTTAAGAAACCATAATGTCCAGAATCGGACTTGCTGCCAGATTTCTGATGTAACTAAAATAATTCTTGTTTTTATAGGAAACTTCATGAGGTACAACGAGACATACGGTCTGGAAGTGCCCACTATTCAAGCTGTGTGGTACTATGTCTTCTTTATTACTCCTTCTAAGTTCTTGTACAGCTTTATCTGCTTCTTCCTGCACTGGATACCTGCATATATCATTGACGCGATCGCTGTGGTTATTGGCAAAAAACCTATGTAAGTGTACAAGTATACTACGATTATGTTCAACATAAATCTGCTTTTATAATATGTATTTAATTATTGTAAAGATAACGTTTTAGAAAATTCATGATTAGCAGCCAGTAAGAAATATTGGAGGAGTTTAAATTCCCAGACTGCATATTTATAATGACCATCATACTAATATTATAAATGGGAATGATTCGATGGATGGATGTATGGATGTTTGTTTGAAGGTATCTTCGGAACGGCTCAACAGATATTGACGAACTTTGGCACAGATATAGGACATAGTCTAGAAGAACACATAGGCTAGTTAGTTAGTCAGTTAGCTTTTTTAATTCCGCGTTGATGGAGTCACGGGCGCCAGCTGGAAAAAATATTAAGTTTCCTTTTAGGATCCATCATTTTTTTTAATTTCGAATACATGAGTAAGATTTAAAGCCATTCTTTCATTTCAGGTTAAGAAAAGCTTACAAGAAAATTGACAAATTCTCCGCCGTCATTGGATATTTCGCATTAAGAGAATGGAAATTCCATAATGATAACATTCAATCACTTTTCAAAGACTTATGCGAAGCTGATAAACAAATATTCAACTTTAATTTAAAGGATTTAAACTGGAAAGAATACTTCTGTAGTTATATCAAGGGTATTCGTGTGTATTTATTAAAGGACCCAATGGATACAATTCCAGCAGGACTAAGAAAACATTATAAACTCAAAATTATGCATTATCTGTTCACATCAATTTTATTTGCTGGACTTTTGAGGTTACTTTGGGGAGGGCTACGGTATAGTGTAGGCGTATAACATAAGCTTTATATTGTGTAGATAGATATTTAATTTTTTAATACGAAATATATAAACATTTTCAATTCGTAAATCGGCGTGACGGCTAAAACTGTTTGTGATTTAGGTTATAATCAAATATAAATGTGAATGGGATTTCCATTGTATAAATACTTGTATAAAACATGTAACCATAAATAGATTACTTTTAGAAAAAATCAGAGCAGACAATCAATTAAAACTTTGTACACGTTTTTAGGCGCGACTAAAACTAAAGTACTGTGAATAAAAAAATCTTTATTTATGAGTTATGTTCGAATTTCGAAGAATGGGCGACTAGTATATTTTAATACAAGTGCTACGACAGTGCAAACTAACGGTTAGAAGATTTAATATCGTTAAACACTAAGTAATATGCCTAAAAGTGATAAAAGTAACAAAAATATTTTTATATCAATTACTTTGAACTAAACAGTTGATGGGAATCATTTGAAAACTTTAATTTTTATTGAAAATTGTTTCTTTCTTTAATATCATTTGGCTTAATTTCTTATTGTTAAACAAGCTTGTCTGCATTGTGTGTTTATGGGAGAACGGTAGAGTAGTTTATAAACATATAACAAATTAATCTATAAAAGTACAAATATAAAGTTTTATCTTAAGCATACCTCTTCGAAACAAGCTTTTTGGTGATGTTTTCTGTCACACTGGATTAAATTTAAAGAGAATAAAATAGATGTTCAGTTTTTAACATAATTATTTCGGCAGTAGATTTCCACTGCCATATCTATGAACTACATCGGCAGAATATTTAGTTTTTTTTTATTAAATTTAACCATTAAATTTGTACAATTGGCTGTACAATATACATTTTTCTGAAGCTTTGATGTATACATTTTTATGCAGCTGACTGTACTTGTGTATTATTGTTATAGTACATAAATGGTTTATCATAATTTTATTATACATTCATATTTTATTCAATATGGGTATTGAAATTGTACGTTTATAGAAATATATTTTAATTCGTACTAGTAAGTATACTACATAGCAATTCAGTTGGCACGTCATGCAGAAGAGTACTCTTATTCCCGACGTGCCAATCAATTGCCGGGTTTTATACGCAATTTGCTCAGTTATTATTTAAGAATGAATTATGATTATGGAATATTTAAATAAGATGTTGAATAATTTGCCATCGAAAAATAAAGTTTTTTATAATATTTTGCGAGACTTTTATTTGTAATTTTACTAGTATAGTCAGCGGAAACACATTTGTGACTTTTTGCTTTCGTCTCAAATTAATGTTTTTTTTGTTGAGTGGTAATTGTTCATTTATAATTTATTTTGATAAATTTCGGATTTAATGGAATTTAATGTCTTAACTATTAAATGTATTATTATATTAAGTTTAGTTAATTAATTATTTAAAAATTAATACTAAATAACACATATGGAGTTTGAGATAATTTAAAAAAGCAACAAAAATCTTACAGAGCAAAAAGTTTACGTTAAAGAGTATTTAATGTTACTCATATTAAAATATCTGTGGATAGTTATCGTCCACTGACATTTCAATATGGTTTTGAAATGACAACAGATGAATTTTTACAAATGTATTTTATTTATAATTTATATTTATTTATCTAAATTCATTATCGCTTTAGAGAGTGGTCTTAAATTGTTGGGTACAGGTCTTGAGTCAGTGTCTCCTTGCGCTATTGGATTGCAGTTTTATATCGTGGTCAACAACACATCGGAACAAGATTACGAAGTACAGTTGTCACCTGAACAGTGCTGTTTGAAGTCTGATTATAATTTGGATTGTGACACAATTAATATTGTAGGCAACTGTCTAGAGAATATTCCAAAAGGTAAGTTAAAAGTAACATACAAAGAGTTTTGCTCAAAGATATTCAAATCGCTCGTTCGTTTAGTTCTCCAAAATAAGACGACGAAGACGAATTATGAAATAATTTGGCAATATGATAACTGTCTGTATATATCATTATCACGACACAGGCTTACCCTAGTGTGAGGGTTATAAGAAATAGCAATTAACATTTAACCGTTTGTCCTTTTTTATGTATCGCTAATTGTTCGTACTATGTTTTGTTCGCTGCAGGAGAAAATGCTTTGTTGTTTAAATATATTTTTTCAATTGTAATTATCGGGAATTCCAACAATCTTGTATGGAACATCTCCCCCTATTGCGATTCCATTAAATGAGTTGTGTAAAAAAAGTTACAACAACATCTGAAGTACCGTTGCTTTTATTGTGGAATGTTTCTTAAAATAAAAATTTTGATCATCCAGATGCTAGATGTTAAATTATTTCTGCTCTCTCTGAGGTCCACAATAACCTTTAGTGTTTTATTAATTAATCAAAATTTATTTCAGGTACAAAAAAAATATTAAAGCTCGTCGCTCCAATCTTAGGACCTTATCAACGACGTGGATTTTGCATTATAAATTTTGATACAAAATTAACGAACGAACAGAAGCGTTTAGAAAGGCAAATAATTAAAATTGATTTTGATACTTATGTAGAGAATAAGAAGCAGTCAATGGATCTACCTTATAATATTAAGAAATGTAACAATATCGATGAAGATCCTCTAAACAATTGTAATCCGGTGGAATGCGATAATTATTATAATGGAAGGAAACCGTATTATTCTAAAAGAACAAAACAATGTATACAAAGTCCTATATGTGTTTCCAATTTCATATCGGAGTTACCAGAAGTAGTATTAGATCCAATATCAAACACATGTGTTCGAGGTCGATCTATTTTAGATGAAGATATTGAATTTATAAAAAGTTTAGAAAAACCGACTAATTGCTCCACAGGAACGGGTGCGTTGACAATATCGGGTAATGATAAGAATAATTTAACAGAACAGAATCTTAAAGTAACTGGAAACGCGTCCAATGATACTAGTTATACGACAAAATTCAGCATCTGTGAAAAAATTCATAGCTACATGGTAAATAATAAATTAACAATCATAGTTTTAATTACTGTCGTATTTATGCAATGTTGTTTAATATGCGTTCTTATATTTTACGTAACAAGTAAATGCGAATGTTTTTCAAGGAGAAAACTTGTTAGTAAATTGTATAATTTTACGACAGATGTATCTATGACTACTCCTTTAATTTTTAGTAATACCGATACTGAAACTACAGGATATAAATATGTAAGCGATTCATCTAATAATATTGACAAGAAAATAAAGAGTTACAAATCCTGTCAGAAGGATCGAAACGGATTAAAAGTAAGTATGTCCGACGACATACTATCGAAATGTTTGACTAGAAGAGACTGGATAGATAACAAGTATACTAAATCCGAAGCAATACCAGAAATGCCTTTAAGATTAAACGCAGAGACTTACAACGAAATTGAACAAACTACAGAATATGAAGCTAAGAAAGAGGAAAGAAATGAAAACGATGAAATGGTACCTCGTCCTTCAAGAAAAATTAGCGAAGCTAAAGTTGTCTTTGAAGATGAACGTTCTGACAAAAATCAGAATAATATGAAAAGCGATAGAATTATTAAGAGCATTGTTCAAAAAGTTGATTATCAATGCGATAAGTCAAGCAAAAAAATTGACAAAAAAGGTAGCGATTCTTCAGAAAAAGAAATCAAATGCCATAGTTACGATTGCTTAAATACAAGTGACCCTAAAATTTCTAAAAGGCATGATTTACATTCTGCAGGAAATAAAAGAAAGGGAGCAATATCGTTATCAACGGATAAAGGAGCACAAGCTTGCTTTTCAAACGATTCTATAGATGATTTTCTTTCAGAAAGAGGTATGATGTTTCTTGGTGGTGACGATATTTCAAAGTATACATTTTCTTATACTTCCAATCAACCTAAGCCTACATCATCATCAGAGGTATCGAGCAAGACATCGAAAAATAATCTAGTTAAGAATATGTTGACAATGTTGCATAGACGTTCTAAACACGGTATATCATCAGATCCAGGAATATCGATGACTGATAACATAGATGTTGAATTATTACATATGTCACATGCTTCTGTATTCACTTCCAGTAACGAATCTGAATGTATCAAAGAATTGGCGAAACAGCACGACTCAAGAACTTCATTGTAATTTAAGTTTTAGGATATATTTAGAGATTTAGACTACCTTTTTATTGTTATAGGTGAAATAAAGCATTTTTAGAATCAACTTTTTTTTTAATTAAACGATTTGAACATCATAGTACAATGGGTAATTATTTTATTTTAGCTTTGTATTAAAATAAATGAATATCGCTATTATAAAATACTTAAGTAAATTATTGAATCTTAATAAATTAACTTGTATTTCAGTAAGTTGGGTATCCCCCGATATCGGAACTCTTGATACAAGAAGGGCAAACACAGGGCGGGCACACTGTAGACATTGGTTCAGTTGGCAGGGACACGTAGGTACCGGGTGTTACCTGTAAAGTTATGAATGACACTTTTCTACGAACTTTTCTTTAAATTTCCGATTTACAAGGTTAAGTGTTTTGTTGAAGGCTAAGTGTGTCTAAGGGTAACATAAAAGTCTGAACGGATTTTTGTCAGTGAGATGTGTTTCGATTCGTATTCTTCCGTATAATGTCCTAATAATACCTTTGCAACAAAGGAGACAACTGTGTTAGTATACTTACCTTTATTTTGGGAAAGTGAATATTTCCAATTAACTTGAATCTCGGCAATGGTCCTCTTGTGACGCACATACACTGAAATAATAAGGCAAAATAGTCACAATCACATAGTTTAATGACATAGTCTAAGAGTTACTTTTTTTTTAAATTTAAAGTGTCATTAATACTTACGCCAACCTACAATAATTCCGTAAATTAGTTTTTTTTTGGATTATTCCAAAAGAGAAAATTAACTTTACTATTTAAGACACTACTTACTTTCTGTAAAATAAATAAAGCCAATTTTAACTATTGATGTATTAATTATTAAATAATACAGCAAATAAATGCTATTAGTATTGGACTTACTGTTGCAGGCTGTAAAACATATGTAAATTATTATTTGTTATTCAAATTCATGTATAGCAAAAGAACATGTTGTCAGCGTCTGTGTTTCAAGTGTAAAGTCAATAGGCATTTTTTGGCTCTACTCTTAGACTAGCGCGTACCAAATTTCAACCATATCATCGGTCAACATCAGATGAGTTTGTGATCACGCATTGGTTTATTGAAAAATAATCCCGGGGATAGTTCTTCCTTTCATTGGTTCTACTGGGTAACTTTAGACACCAAATAAATGATAGAAATCAATTAGTTTATTTTACATAAAAATAAACTCGATAAAAACCAAAAATACTTACTCGAGTCTGAAAAAAATTTAAAATGTATTTAAACGATTCTTATCTTGCTTTTAATTTTCAATCATTTAACAATATTATAATAATTAATATAAAATTATTGCGGCATTATTAATACTTACAAAATACTGAAAATTAGAATTATCAATTTAGTTAAGTGAAATTCTTACAATACGAGTACAAATTTCAAACTGAAAGGTTTAATAATTATGATTTAATTACATTTTTTATTACCCCTTAATTACATCTTACTAAAATTGTAAATGCGAAAGTTTAGCTAGATGGTTGGATGGATGTTTGTTAGCGGGTTACCCCAATATGGCTGAAAATTTGGATGAAATTTGGCACAGAGGTAGATTCTAGATTAACGCAGAGGCTACTTAATACATTTTTGTTAATTTCACGCGGAGTAAGTTGAAGCTATATGATATATGAGAATACATATACTTACTGTCATCTATAAAAAATATTTTTTTTTATGTTTCTCTTTAAAAATCTTTAAATTAATTAATTTATTAATTTAAAAAGATAATTTACCCATCTCTGAAAATTAAAATAAAAACACTTAGATAATTTGATAATAAATTAACACTCAATTCAATTTTTTTAGATCTTTAGCTGTATTTACCTCAGTCTGAAAATTAAAAATAAAACATTAATGTCTAGAATGGAGTACAAGCAAGTAAGAACAAATTCTCTATATTTCGTTTACGTTACATTATTTAAAGCAGAAAAAAATGCTATTAGTTCAAAGATACGTACATAAATTTGCTAAAAAAAGCAAAAGGTAAATTTTATTTCGTTATACATTATTTTGAAGAAGAAACCAAATAATCAGGGTCTAGATTAGGACATAAGGTATTTCTACTCTATGGTCTATGATCTAGGTCTATGACACTGCGAGGAGAAATGACGATCACATAAACAAGTAAGTAATGAGATTAATCGTAGATGGCTACAAAGGTAGATACCAAAGAATATGAATGGATTATACTATGGTCTAATCACCCTTAACTTAAGGTAGGCTCCGAGCCCCTCGGTGGGGACGTATAGCGAGCTGATGATGATGATGCATAAGAAAGAGGTTTTAGATACGACGGCACATAAATGTATGGAGGAGTAGTAAATACTGTGAGGAACCTTCGCAGGGACAAGGACAGGTTGATGATGATATTGAAGGACAGGTTAATATGATAAAAATATCATAAAGTAAAAATAATTATTTGATACCAAAAAATGAACACTCACCAGAAGCTGTAAAAAAAAAAATTTTTTTTCATAGTTTGAAGCAATAAATTGAAACTTTATTTTATTGTACTAAAATAGTTAACTATAGCAGATAAACAATACTTACTCCTCCACCCTGTTAGAAAAAAAAAACAAAACGAAAAAGTTAGTAAAAATTCAATATAACGTAATAACATAAAGGATCGTCACAAAAGGATCGCATTTTTAGTACAAGCCATATTGTAATATTTATGTAAGAACTGCTAAGTTAAGGGATAGTTTATGAATGATTTTGAAGAAAGTTACATAAAGTAAATATGAAATTGATACTTGATACCTTAAGCTAGAATAAGAAATATATCAATGAGCAATTTTTTTTTAATTTACTTCGTCATGAAATTGAAAAAAATATGTTACTTACTGTTACCTAAAATAAATAACCATTTTTTACTTCATGTAAATTATTGTTACTACCATTATAATAGAAAGAGTTTTTTGCATATTGACTTACGTTCATCTATAACGAAAAAATATTTAATGAAATTATTGTAAGCCATTTTTATCAGTATTTCATTGAATCGATTTTATATTTATGAAATACTTACAATGAGCTGTAAAATAAAAACCATAAATTTAATTACTATTAAATTAAGATAGAATTGTTTTACATTATATTAACCCTTATGTTTATTTTGTATATTATATCATACATACAACTTTGTAAAAATATACGATCACTATAAAATAATTTTTAACTTAGTTTTTTTTTTTTAACTTTGTTGCTTTACTTTAAAAAAGAAAACTTGCCACAATAAGGGTTGATAAGTTTAAAGAAAAAAAATGTGGTAAAAACTTAAGGCACTTATTTGAACTGTTTTTCAATAATACAACCGTGATTAATGTCTCGGTTATAAATTTAACTATCACTTTGAAAAAACGACAAATAATTTATTTGAGACTGATCCAATTAAAAGTAGAATTATGTTTAATAAAGGATATACTTACATCTTCCTGAAATATAGATTATTTAAAATTTAATAATATTACAAATCTTTTTTGTTATTTTTTAGGTTATGTCACTGATCGACTGTCATTGAAACAAAACTAGTAGTAGGAGGGTAAACGCAAATCTGCACGATGTATTTCAGTGTTTTTTTAGTATTATATCGACTCTTTGAAAACTTACCTTTACCTAGAATAACAAAAAAGTTTTTAATCTCGAATTAAAAAAAAAAAGATGTTCATTTTCCTGCAATAAAACTTACTGGTTGCTGTAATATAAAATGATAAATAGATTATAATAAAATTAATCGTAATGTAAAAGCATTGATTGTTATAAAAAAAGTTTACTTACGCCCTAAAACTGAAAAAAAAAACAGAAAGTTAAATTAAATTTATGTAAAATACATAATTTTCCTTTTAATGAATTTGTAGACAAAAAAAAATTATGAATAGTTAATTGGATAGGCTATAAAATGCCAGTGGACATTGGAACTAAGGCCAAAAGGTCAAAGTTTTGCTTTTTTCCTGTATATAAGATAAGAAAGCGGTAATACTAACCAGTAAATAAGGCAGAATTAGCAGTGAGCATGAAAAAAAATTATGAATATACTAAAATGTCAAATCTTAGCAAAAGTCAAATAATTTTTTATATTTTTATTAAAATACATTTTAGAAAACTTATCTTTGTTAAAGCGGCTTATCGAAAAGATAGCGTTAGTCGTTAAAAAGCACGTATTATAATTATTAATGATAATAGTCAAGCTAAGTCTTACATAGCGATCCTGAAATCAGATAAATTCAATAAAGAAATTAAATATTCGTTACAAAAAAACCTTTGACTTTACGTTTTGTTTTAATAATTCAATTAAATTAAACATTATTATAGTTTGAATAAACCTTACCGTGAACTGAAATTATAAAAAAAAATCAACAAAAAGACATCATTGTAATTGAAAGAAAATCCAAAATCTCGTATAAAATCTAAAGTCAAGGAAAGTCATATAACACTCTCAAAGATACGTGAGTACTTACCACATTCTAGAAAATTGTTTAAAAATTAATAAAAAAAATTAAACATTATCATTGAGATGAAATTCTTTTAATTATTTTTAATTTACAAACCTTTGGCTAAAATAAATGAATTTCGGTATGAACGAATTTATATTATATTTGCTAGTGAATACATTAATTAATTAAAAAAAGACTTACTGTGGTCTAAAAACAAGAAAAAAAGAAAAAGTTAATTTTCAATTGCAAAATGCATGCGTATAAAAACGAACGAAGATTCAAACCAAATGAAAAATAAAAAAGAAACTTACGAATTCCAGCTAAAAATAAAATTTAATAATTAATAATATCCAGTTAATATTTAGACTAGATCAATAGAAGTATAATTTATTTAAATAGATGTCTTTTCTCAATAAGTATTTATAATTTAGATTCCAAACACTTACCGGTAACTGTAAATATTAAGTTAGTTATAAAATTATTATATTTTTAAACTATTCTATAGTTTATTTAGTTTATGAAACTCAAAAGCGGAGTTTTTTGAATATAATTAAGTTGTAGGTACTTACTGTTAGCTAAACAATAACGTTATTATAAGCATTAATAAAAGACATTGCACGACGTATAAAATTAAAAAAAGAAGTTTATATTACCACTACAGTACTGCCCTGAAAAGATATAAAACATATTTTAACGTCTCGTTAATGTAGCCGTTTTTATTTCCTTTATAACATTAACACGAAAGTTTAAAAAAAAATGATAGAATTGGTAACTAACATCGGAAAAAATCAATTCTCGTTTACACTCCATAGATAAAGGCAAACATAGAAATTATTTCGATAATAGTATATATAGTAATAGTAGTATAGTTCGACCAGCATCTCAAGAAGCTCTCGCTACACAGTTGGATTAAGGGTCCGATACAAAAGGCAGTTATCCTAGAAACCGCGCGCATCGTGAGAAGGTTCCTGTCTCTGCAGCCCTGACTACTGGTTGTTTGAGTCATTGGATTCCGCAGCCGGTGGTGTTCTGTTTTTAATATAATGTTTTGTATATTTATTTTTTTGGATATGAAATGTATTATATTATAAATATGATGAATAAATGTATATGGGTTTATCAGTATAGTTCAAATTATCAGATTAAAAATCAATTTAAAACATACCCCTTGTTCTGCATCTCCCTGTACAAAATACAACAGAAATCGATTAGATGCAAATGTACAAAATTGTATATTAATAATAAATTATACAGAATAACTGCTTACCGATACAGTCGAACTTTCAGTCTAAAAATTGTTTATAAATTAGAAAAAAAAATAACAAAAGAACTATCTCAATTTATTAAAAATAATAATTTTTTAACTTTCTAAAAAAAATTAACCACTCACCGCTGGTTCAGATTGCCCCTAAAATATAAACAAATTTAAATAAAAGGCCAACAAATGTATTCAAATAAATATTAATTATATTATAAATGAAAATATTTAGGTGGATGGATGGACGTTTGTTTGAAGGTGTCTCCAGAACGGATGCATGGATCGCGATGAAATTTGGCATTGATGTAGAACATAGCCTAGAAAAACATAGGTTATCAATTAAGATTTTTTTAATTCCACGCGAACGTACCTAAATAATTATTTAAAATACTCACAGGTGAATTAGAGCTTGCCTAAAAATACGTTAAAGTTAACAAAACGTCAAAAAAGACTATCGTAAATGTATCAAACAAACTAGTAGTTTAACGTAGCATTTTTTTAATCAATACCATGATATTAACTGAATAAAAAAATTCACAGTTATAAAGAAATAAAAACCACGATAAATGTTATTCATTACTCACAGGTTCAGTAGTGCTGTCAGGTGCTGGCTAAAAATATTATATTAACTTATATATAAATTTTACTTTCTACCACACTCAGAGATAAATGGGTAGTTAAACCTTCCCTGAGAAAAGCTTTCTGTATATATAAGTACCTATACTGAGTGGCATTAAGTAACAATTAAATTACTGTGAGTTTGACAGTTATTATTTTAAAGTTAACAGTTTTACTTTAGGGTTAAGTGGTCTAATATTACCCCCAATAACTAAACTGTTGTGTTACTGTATTTGAGTGTTTCTATTGTCGAAACAATTGTGTAAAAAAAATCTAAGGCTTTTGGTACAGTTTCGGTCGAACAAACAAGACGAATGTTTAAATTTACATCTTCAAGTAAGTCAATCGATGACCTTAAGGTTTTCATATACTGTGATAAGTCACTGTACACAAGTAAGCGATGACCTTAAAGGGTCTACGTTAATCCATGGATACCTTTTGTGTAGATACTTACATCTTGTGCTGTAGTAACGATGGCATATATCCAAATTACGTAGATAAAGGGTCGGAGCCACATTCTACAAATATAAGTTACAAGTATTAACAAAAACGATTCAAAATTTATGGAACTCGTGGTTAGGTGAGAGAGTATGTTTTCAGGTGCCAGGGCAGAGTGCGAGTGGAGAAAAGTACGTGCCGCGAAATTGTGCACGATTTTTTTTATCGTCTTTGCAAATGATAGGTAGATAAAAATTTTGTTAGTAAGATCAAAATGTATTTTAACTATATCTAACATATAACGGAAAGGAATATATTTTTTGGGGTTGCGTGAATTTTACTTACTTCGTTATTTTATGTTACTTATTCACAAACTGTTTATGATGTAAAGTTTACGTTACCAATGTATTGCGATATTTCTACTTTTATAGTTTTCAATTTAAAATAACTGCAATGGGTGTTAAAATAAATATCAGTACATTTGACACAGTTTGATACACTGGGGTAGAATAAATGAAAATTGTGCCAAATGTAAATACATCTCTACCTACCCTACTATGCTAGCATTTCTCAGATATTTGATAATATATGCAATATTATTATTATATAATAAAATATGTTCTATATCTAAAAGGTTTTAAAAAAAAGTGTCGAAAATATGTTATTTATTTTTTATTATGTAATTTCTGTACAAAATATTATAACATCTTTTGTCATTTAGTTTCCTCTGATTTTTCTTGATAGGTAATTACACCCTTTTCTATCAAGTCTGGAATTTCAACTGCCAGCCAAGGACCCAACTGAAAAAAAATATCAACTGTCAGTTGCAATTGGTGTTAATCTGTGTAAGTGTTCTTTATGTTACTAATATTATAAATATGAATGTTTGAAGTTATTTTCAGAATGGCTGAACAGATCTCGATGAAATTTAGCATACATATAGAAAATAGTCTGGAAGAAGATATAGGCTACCAATTATGTTTTATTAGTACCGCTCAGACGGAGTCGCGGCGACAGCTAGATCATTATAAAATAATGAACAAATAGAATTTAAAGATATAAAAAATATAAGGTGGCAATGTAACAACTAAGATGAAAATGTGTACTATTTGTTTTTTTATAAGTTTGTTATAAATACTTACCCCTAAAGCCATAGCATGTGCAATACCAAATTTAGGTACATTCCGAGCCCACAGAGGTTTGAAATGATCAGTGAGACAAATTTTGCCACCTCTATACATTTTAGCTGTCTTCCCATCTAATCCTGGAAGTGCCAACTCAGGTGCTGTAGTTGGATATGTCACAGGAATCTAGGAAAATATATGAATTGAGAAATATTAAATAAAAAGGATATAAAAGGAAGAGTTATTTTCTACAAGGAAAAATAATAAAGCAAGAAATATGAAAAGAAAATACACAGATTATTACAAACTGTTTGTTTTAGTTACATTTTTTCCTAGAAAGTCATTTAAATAAGATAAAATTAAATTGGTCTACATTAAAAAAACTAGATGTAGTTTCTGGATGTTTTAGCAATGGCCGTAAGGTATAAATAGTAATATTATAGTTAATATTCAACAGTTCAAACCAACACATAAGTTTATTAGTGCAATAAATTGTCTTTCTTCAATTAACTTACATCAAATTCCAAATCAAACTCATATTTGAGTAGGTTGTGGACATACCAACATTTGCCAAACCATCTTGTGCCAGTTTTATCAGACTCTAATCTAAACCAGTCATTGTCCGCCGCTTTGTTGTTCTCTACATACTGGAATATAGAAAAGTTTTATGCTTCAGTGATACAATCAAAAGAAAGTCTGTCGTTATATAATTTAAACGAATTTCTAAGATTTTCATCCAATAATAAAATATTTATCTTACATTTCTGTTTTCTGCATTAGCAAAAGTATCTAGAAAAGTATATTACCTTAATTAGAGCCTGATACTCTTCCTTTAATCTATTAACCCATAACTCTTTGTCTCTTGGTCCTGCCTTTGTTTTCAATAAAGGTATACTGCTGAGAGTTTTTCTGGTACTTTCATCTACCATTATTTTACTTTATTTAAATGTTTAAAAGAACATAATATAACTTTTACTTAATAAAAGTAGAGTTGGAAATGGAAAGTGTTTATGTATACGTAGACAAACGTCAAAATGTCATTGTCAAAGTGACACGTGTCGAAAGTTTAACTCTAATGTTACCATTACCAAGGTTTAAGACTATCATAAAACCGTTTCCTTTCCAAAAAGTGCCTCAGTTATTAAGTCAAGTAACGTAATTTTTTTTTGTCCATTCCCATTCTCAACAGTTTAGAAAATAATTTTTGTGATTTAAGAAAATGTGTATTATGTGTTTGCTGCTTATGGCGGCCTAAACGACACAACAATTGTCAATTGTAATGTCAGTCATGTCACTTGTCATTGTCAATAAATTATCAATGTCAATAAATATTTCTTATTACTTAAATTAACTTTGTTCTTATAATTTGAATTGTTAAAAAAGAAACATTCTGAAAGGAGATTGTAATTCTTTGTACCATACGCTTTTGTTAAACATTAGGTAAATAACTATGTAATACATATTTTATTTTAACTATACGAACCTTATAATATTGTGTATGATGCATTAACTATTAAAAAATGTCTTTTCCAGATGTTACAGATATTTAAAAAATTGCATATTCACAGTTAGTTCAAAATGGGCTCTGAGCAGTCGATGCCCCCTAAGAATCAGCCACAAAGGGCACCTCCTGTTAGACGAGGACACACGATAGCTGGTACAAATGTGCCAGGTAATATTGTTTTGATAAAGTAACGAAATCTAATTGCTTATTTTTTTTTGTTATAGAACACAGTAAACAACCAAGAAGCCATCTGATTTCTCTGAGTTTACAGATCTAATTACTTTGTACCTGGTTTTTTATTAAAAATCTAGCTTGATGGAAATCCCACCTGATGTTAAATGTAAATAAGTTAAAGTTCTTGTAACAGTTATTTTTAATGCTATTTTTTAAGCCATGAGTATTTTTTCTTTCAGATTTTCATAGAGGTGGTGATGCAACAACCAGTGGTAACAACTCTCCTGGGGCCAGCATATGTTCAGACTCTGAGTTACCATATATATCATACACTGTTGATCGTCCTATTGGAGGTATTTATTTAACATCTATGTATCCATATAGACCTATGCAATGAAAACAGTTACATGAAAATGCATCTGCGGTCCCTCTGCCGTTGTGGATGTCCATGGACGTCGGATCAAATAATATTAAGCGATTCGTTGCTCATTTGCCCACTTCTCCTATAAAAAAAAATGGCCAAAGGGATCTTATATGAAATGTGACTTTTCATTGCATGATTTTGAACATATTTATAAGTTCTGTAACTCTTTTCTTTATGGTTTCGTATTGACAAGACAGAAAATATCAAATATAAATATATCATTTAACAGATTCACCAAAACATACATCAAAGAACCAGCGTATGGCAGAGAATAAGAAGTCTCTTCTGCAGAGGCGTCAGATGAGCCTCCAAGCGCGGAAAAGCAAACGAGCACGGGATATTGTTGTTGTTAAAGCCGCATCTGATACACAGTTGGACGAAGATATACAACGATTGCAGGTATTTTGTTAACATAATTTTATTGTTAGATGTATAGTCAACCAAGTCACGTAAGCCAAGATGGTTGATTACATCTAGGTACCCCAAACATAGGGTAGACTCCAAGTTGCTATGTGGGGTATCTAATTACAATTATAATGAACCCTATGTAAGGAATGACTCATTTTCATCTTACATATTATTTTATTACGAATTTTTAGTTGTCACATTGATAGAGTTTCTTATTGTTTAATTCTTTTTTATATTTTCAGGAAATCCCAACATTTCTCCCTATTATGAGGGGTACTCTTGGTTTGCCCGGTGCTCGTGATCCTGAAGTGATAGCTGGTGAGTAGTGGATCATTTAATCCATAATATATTTCATTTGAAAATATTTTTTTTTCAAACATCTAATATAATATTTTCAACTATGTGGTTATATTAGTTGCTTCCATATGACGTGTAATGCGATATTTTTTTTAATGTAATTAACATATTACGTACCACAAATTCATGATTTAAAATCGTAATGGGATTGTATGTGTTTAACGTCATCTATGTTTATGTTAGGACTAGATTATAGACCGTGGGTTCGTATGACGACCCGTCTGCAAGCGCATCTGTCTGCCTGCGCTCAGCCCATAGCAGCAGATGAAGTCGCCCTCGCCACTAAAGTTAAAGAGGTATTTATATACACTGTACTAAAGAAAATTGTAAATTTTGTAATAAAAGTACTAAATAAAATTGTAAATTTTGTAATAAAAAGTAAAATGTTACCGATATGTAAGTAATTGTAAAATTTGTTTTGACAGGTCGACGCGGAGATCTCCCGTCTCTATTCTTTATTAGTAGAGAGACAGAGAGCGAACGCGCGGCACGCAGAGCGCCTGTCACGGGTACGGGAGGTCGCCCACCATTTATCTAGATGCAGGTCTTTGGTCAATCAGGTAAATATCTTGATTCTTCTAGTTAATATATACGTTTAAAATGTTTCTTTTTGTTATTTAAAGTGTCATTCTGAAGTTACCGTATGGAAAAAGTCGGGAATTTATTGGCGAAAAATGGGGGGGGAAATTTCTGGGCAAAATATGAACACCAAATAATTAATTATCAATCAATGAAAATTTGGTTAATTTTAGAATGTACTATTTTGTGGTTATATGTAGGTGTTTAATACTTAAAAAATAAAATAAAAAATGTGTAAAAGTGAAAAAGAAATTAAGTTTTTTTTCTTTACAGTCTTTGCAAGATATTGAAGAGTTGAATCTTTTACTACCAGAGAATAAAAGATTGGAACCATTCGTATGGAACGAAGAAAAAATAGAAAATAGCACATAATTATGATAGTATATAGCAAAGTTATTTAAATAAATATAAGCAAATAATCATGAGAATTTTATGCTGTTTTAAAGTCGCTTACATCCCGCAAGTCGGGAAGATCTCATCTCGTTGTTTAAAAATCTGAATGAAATATATTTAATTTTTAATTTCTCGTTTTATTTATATCATAACCTGGCTACATACTTATCGTGGGTTTCTTATACCAATATTCCCGTTTAAAATACATTATCTCTGTTTTTTCAAAGATAATGACTGGAATAACGATATGTGTTATACTGAGATTTTAGTGGGAAAAACCAAAGGTTAGTTATTGAATAGTATAATATAATATACCACAGGGATTTGGATCTCAAAAACCCTTGATTAGTAATTGGAAAGTAAGTATGTTTTTTTAAGCAAAAGGTGGCAAACGAGCGAGCGGTTATCTGAAATTGCTAAAGTAGCGAAGCGATCGTTACCCATAGATGCGTTGCCTACCTTAAATCGACTAAGGAGAGGGTGCACAGAAATAAATTATTTTCTCTTCCCATGCATCCCCTCATCCGGAAAGTCCGCTTCCACTCCCATCCTTTCCTTATAAGAAAAAGAGTGGGAAGGGAAAGATGCCTTAAATTAGACCTCCGGGACGAACACTCATCAGACGAAAGGCGGAATTGCTTCCACTTCACGCCTATCTTCTGTGTGGTCGTAGTATTTCACCGGGCGAGTTGGGACAATTTAGATGAGCCGATTTGTGTAAAGGTAAGTTAGTATGTATTGGAAATAAATAGTATTGGAAGATAAATTTTTAAAACAGTACTTTTTATTTAACTCGTATGTAGGAGTGACACAATACACAATTTGTGAACATTGTCGACCCGACATAATCGTTTGTTACGTTTTTATGTTGTATTCTAAGAAGCGACTGAATTGCGCTATTCTTGCTGACAATGTTTATTTTTTGCACTTTTGTAGTTACGACTTGAGTTCAGTATAATTACATTACACCAGTCTTTCCCAAAGTGGGCGATAACGCCCCCTTGTGGGCGCTGCAGGTGTCAAGTTGCGGGTTATAGTAAAAGTTTCGTTTAGAATTCTCCGTTAATATACATATATAGGTCACAATAATTAATTAATTTAATTTGGAGTTATAGTGGTTTTTAAATATGTAAAAATATGGGGGCGCTAAAAAAATATTTATTCTCAAAATAGGCAGTAGACAAAATAAGTTTGGGAACCACTGCATTATACAGATACATAAACACATACATTATGAACTCGTAAGATCCTTTCATAAAATAAAAAAAAACCTAAATAGCCTATGTATTCTAAGCTATGTTCTACATCTATGCCTTACAATAAGATCAATGCAGCTGTACTGGCATTACCTTATAGCAAACATCCATACATCCAAACATTCGCATTTATAATATTAGTAAGAAAAAGATAATTAATTATACTTTATTACCTCATGCTTATTAACCGTAAATATTTAGGTTTAAACCGTTAATAAGATGTGTAGTCATAATCTCATAAATTGAAAGTCGTAGGTACAGTTTCTAATTACCCTCCTGTCTAAGACGAATTTTAATTGGTGTTACAAGAAATGTTTGAACACGTTTTTGTCCTATTTACCTATTTCCCCTTAACCTTAGAATGTTATATTTCAACAGTGAGATGACGATAAAATCTACAAAACGCAAGCAAACACCTCCGGCTAAAGAACGGCTGCGCGCAAGTAAATACGTTGATTCAAGTCGTTACCAAACCTTGCAAAAGCGATGTTTTGCAATACACGCGCTATGGCCCACTCAGTTAAGATTTTCCTTGCAGTCCAGTTAAACGTGTCTATAGATTATTCGAACTAGCAGGTGAGTTGAGCTTTTGTATTTATTAATATTTAAAAAAATAGATCTCTATTCTTCGACGTTTTTATTTATACGGCTCATAAATTTCTTGTGTGCCAGCATTTGAATTTTTAAAAATAGGTGTTATATATAAATGATAATATTTTTTGTTTTTATAAAATAAAACCTCATGTAATTTATCTTACCAGTATTGTTTGATAGATAAATATATAAAAATTATGCAATTTAATTATTTGTGTAGAATGGCCGAGAAAAAACCAATCAACATATTGTATAATCTTATTTGCTATTTCTTTCGTGCTTATAATTTAATTTGCATATAAGAAATCAATGTTATATTTTAACGCGGAAACATCTATTATGAGATCCTTATACTTAATATTTGGTCTTTTGCGGTAGTAGTCGACTTTCTTTTAGACACGAATGTATTTTAAAATATCAACTCGGTTTTAAACAACTGGTTAGGCTTAGATTCGATCATAAATAAGTAATATTCTGATTTCTAAATATTCAAGGAATCTCGTAAATAAACACAAAAAAATTTCCCAGTTTTAGGAGGTAACATTGAACAACTTAAAAAAAGACCAACCTTTAAAACCAGTAATGGTATCAATATTATGCAGTGTTAAAACGCTACACGTCTTGAATATTACTGAATAATATACATACTTATTATCCTACGGACTTAGGAGGTGTAAACTGATTTCGTAACTTTTATTATGATTACCAACCTAAACGGCTGAACCGAATTTATTCCCCTAAATGTATACCTAGCCATAAATCAGTAAGGGTTTTTTGGTTCTTTAATTCCTTGTGTTATAATATAAATTGCACCGATTTTTATATAATATAGCTCGGGTTTAGCGACTATTAACTGTTGGCAATTCGGGTCAACGTCGAGCCAAGGTTGCGGAAGTCTTGGAATGGATGTGTATTATCAATTCAAAGAATTCGTGATGAGCGTACTAAATACACAATTTAATAGTTTGTTTATTTTTCCTTTGTTCAGTTCCTCTCTCTCCTTCCTTTCTTAGATAATATAAGTATAGAAGATTCAAAAGAATATAGTTCGAGATATATACATAGTTCGTTCAAGAAAAAAGTTCGTATATTTCTAGGATGTTAAACAACAAAATGTCTTCTAAAGTGCAATGACCCAGTTTGTAATAGTGGAGGATCCAGGATTGTGATTTTAGTGTGTTTAGAGTTGCTGTGCAAGCAATATTATCGTTGTAAAATTAAGAAAATCTGATTCTTGATTTTGTTATGTACCAAGTCGCAAGAAGAAATGAAGTTAGGAAATAACTAAGCGATTAACCCTCCAGTTAGGCAAAGCCTGTAACGCACGCAATGACATTTAAAGTTGACATTTAATGGACAATGTAAAGACTCAAATGAAAAGAATAGACACAACACACAAGGTGTATCATAGCTTGTTAATTTCTTGTCGAAAAGTTTTGCGTAATCTTACAATCTTGACGCAGTGATATGAAGAAAAAAATGTCGTAATCAGTTACAACAAACATAATGTCAAGGTCTGGGCAGTTCTCTGTCACATGCTTTCGCTGTTAGTATGCGTAGTTTCCGAATCCCATAATCAAGTAGGTTAAAAGTTATAAGAAGGAAAGAATAGCATCTGATTCTCCTTGTATTTAAAACTAAATGTATCATGGTACTTTAGCAAGATTAGGTCTTAGAAGACATGGATAGAAGCAGCAAATATATTTTCTGCATGTGAAGCTAAAACATTGTTCTTGTTGCGGATTATTCAACAGTTATAAGTCGACCGCGATAACATCAGACCTATAAGTCCGATGACGTCAAAGACCATCTATCTAATACAACGAAAAAAGGGTAACGATTGCAGGTTACTTTTTATATTGGTTGCATCACATTCCGAGAATATTTATATGTGAGTAGGCATGCAGTTTTTTTAATCACTTTAATACCGAGTTACAAAAATGGTTACATAATTTTTGCGCTGTTTGTGTGGTCCACGGTATCTAGGTGTAGTACATTAGTGAAAGATTCGCTCCATTTGTTATATAGACTAAATACTGTCGAAACGTGCTAAATTTCAACATTGTTTAGGCAACGAGTTATCATCCTTTAATAATCACTTTTCTATAAATACCAGCATAATGCTACATTACACCACGAATCAGAAGTCATATTACTTGAAACTAGGATTTTGGCTGTTTAGAGTATAAAATATTACAATGGAATGGTTAAGAATTTGTATATCGTTGCCTGATTTTAAAATTGATTATTTCATGACGTCTTAAGTTACAAAAACATATGACTAATTCATAAAAAAAAACAATTGGTACGGCGAAGAACCTGTACTATATTGAACGTTCTAGGAAATAAATACTTTGATAATATGTCGCATGTAAGAAGACTGCGGGAGTACATTACGAATTTAGTATTACTACTTTCCCTTTCCGATGGCAGAACCAGGAGTCGACACAAAAAAAATAGTGGTATAAAAGGTGACGGCCAAGTTTATGACAAAGATATTGAAGACAAAGTGAAGTAGAAGAGACTAATAAGACAAGTTAGAGAGAGAAATTAACGCATTACTAGTGTTGTAAAAAAGTAAAATGTACGTCTATGGTATGCCGTCTTGACTAATCATTTGCCCTTAATATTTTAAAACGGTTATTGCATCAGCAAGATTACGATGGTTTCTATTAAAACTTTCAATTCCGTCTCTATCTGTTTCATAAGTTAAGCTAATATTTGATCAATTACACGGTAATAGGACATTTTGTTTCATATTAGGTTAATTTACATATCTGTAACTACAATAGAAGAAACTGACTGAATGGCTGATGAACATGTTGCACAAAGAAATTTGATAAAAATTTTCGTTATTGAATGTTTTTGTTTTGAAAAAGTTTAGATAGAAAAAAGGTCTTAAAGTTTGGTAAAATGTTTGTATAAAGATATGTTTTTCCTGCACCTTAATTAATTTAAATTTACATTAGATTAATTTTTCAACAAAAACAGGAAAAATAATGAACAAATTTAAAATGATAAATAAATGTTACCTTGCAAGATCATTCAATTATTAAGCTATTAAAGCTAAAATGTTATTACATTTATAAAATCACCTCTTCACGGTCTAACACAATAAAAGACAAAAGTCAAACCTATTTACAGTCACTGTTTATTATCATACTAGCTGTCGCCTGCGACTATGTCAACACGGAAAGAAAAAAAACTTAGTAACCAATGTTGTTCTTCCAGACTATGTTCTACATATGTGCCAAATTTAATTGAAATCCGTGGAGCCGTTCGGAGATACCTTCAAACAAACATCCGTCTACCCGTACAAACATCGCATTTATAATGTTACTAGCTGTCGCCCGCGACTTCGTCCGTGCGGTATTAAAAAAATATAATTAGTAGTCTTTGTGTTCTTCCAGACTATGTTTTACATCTACGCCAAATTTCAGCGAGATCAATGAAGCCATGCTGAATACCTTCAAACAACAACAAACATCCATTCATCCATCCAAACATTCGCATTTTTAATATTGTTGTTTGTTTTTTCCATATAAATCTTGCAGTATATTTCCATGACTAAGATGCGCTGTGTTTTTGTTGCATTTTATATGAATGTATTAAAATATATTAAGCGAGTATTTTATCACACAGATGTGTGGTCTACATGGAGTGAATAAAGGTTATTCAAAACTGGATAAAAAGGTTAATTGTACTTTTGTTTACAACTGGCGCGTATTTATTTGCATAGTTAGAACTTTATAAATATTTTGTGTATATTTTTAAATTGAATCACTTTGGTTTATTATGAAAAATTTGTATTGTCCAACCTAGGATAAGCGAGAGTAAACGAGAGGAACCTCTATAAACGAGAGTTCTTGTTCGGTTCCAAAAACCAAACTCTATAAGCGAGAAACTCGGGTACGAAGGACACCTCTATAAGCGAGAAATATATCGCGGTCCCTTGGACTGTCGCTTATCCAGATTACACTGTATTTAAAAATTTTAAATTACCTAACTTGTGGTTTACTTACCTTGTTATTTACAGCCTTCAAGATGTCTTCAGAAGGCTTTACGGAGACCGAGGTGGATGCGATGGCGGACCGCATCGCTGAAACTTTCAGCGGTATGAACGTCTTCATCACTGGAGGCACAGGCTTCATGGGAAAGGTTCTTGTTGAGAAGTTGCTCAGGTAAATTAAAAGAAATAATTACGCTTTCCACCTAATTCAAGCAAAAAGTCACCATAAGAGCACTTAGCACGTATTTATGTTTATGACGACAGCGTCAAAATTTGGAATTTAACGAATAAATAAATAACACAGATATAAGACAAGGATAATATGCAATTTGTTATCATAAAACGAAACGCACTTCACGCGACTATAATTTTTATAGTCTTGATACTTTCTAACTGTTGTCTACATTGTATATTTATTGGTGCAATAATTCACTTAGAAAATAACACAAAAAGAGATATTTCATTGCACAAAGGCATAAAAAATAATTTTACAAAGTGGGTACTTTGGAAACAAATTTGACATACCAATCAGTGAGCATAAGTGTGAACTATAATAGATATATAAAATTATCGCGATTTAATAAGTAAAGATGTAATTTTATTGCATAATAATAAAAACATCTTGATATTTACTTCAACTGAAATAAGGTGAGATTTTTTTTATTATTGTTGTGAGCGTTATGCAAATAATAACCTTGAGAGACGTGCAATCACAAGTTGAATAGATCGGAATACAATGGAAAGTTAATTCTATGTCACTGCATACAAAGTTCAAATTGATTGTAATTTATAATTAAAATTAATGCACAACTAATAACAATACCTAATAGTCTCCGTAAAGATTACTTAAACATTATTTCTTCAATTTCTCTTCAAATTGATCTTTCAAATTCACGTTTTTTAATTATTATATTCAAATATTATAATTAATTTTCAGAAAATGTCCGGATATTGGAAAAATAATTCTTTTTGTGAGAGAAAAAAAGGGGAAACTACCAAAGCAACGACTTGAAGAAATGCTTAATGACGACGTGAGTATTGTGTAATTATTTAACTATCTTATTGTATCTAAAAGTATATATTATGCAATCGTTATCAATAACTGGCTGTCGCCCGCGACTCCGTCCGTGCGGGATGAAGAAAGGTTCCTAGAGGGTTTCTCGGCGATTATTCGAATTTTTCTCGCCGTAAAAACCATCTTTGAACTTCAACGAACATTTGTAAATAGAATTGACCAAATTTGTCCAGACGTTGTTGAGTTATGTGCTTACCAACACATTTTACGATTCATTTTTATATTATAGATCCCAAGATCACGTCAATTTCCACTGCTGATTCTTAAAAACACATTGTCTCAGTTTAATCATAGAAGAATTAGATACATAACAGGATGAACGAATAGGTTTGACTAGAATATTAAAATTTCCTAGCTATGTTACTGAGAAACATGAAACAATTCCTTTGCGTATATTAGAAAGTGATACAATGATAAATTTTAGTAGTCTTTTTTAGGCTTTAACATTTAAAAATAATATTTCTTTAATATACTGTTGTCAGGAAACTACTTAAGTCTTAGTAACACTTAGTTTGTTGCATAAAAACTTAAATAGTAAAAAAGTGTGCCTATAATTTGTTATGCCACATTATTGCTAAGGGGATTCCCAACTGCGTAATACGACGGATGCATTAATTTATATTATACTAAAGGCTTTAAAAGAAAAAGATTATTGCACAATTTTTATCTTCACTACGCCAAGTACATTCAATACTATTTTAAAAGTCAATGGAGCCACCATTGTTAGATGGTCTCATTTTTTCATTTAACCTTTTATAACCTTCAAAAATTTTAATGCAACATAGAAATAAAATAAAAGCATCAATAGCTCAGCTCACTATACGTCCCCACTGAGGTACTTGGAGCCTATCCTAAGTTAGGGGTGACTAGGCCATAGTCTACCACGCTGGCCAAGTGCGGGTAGGCTGACTTCTCTCATATCTTTGAATTTCTTCGTAGACATGTACAGGTTGTATCACGATGTTTTCCTTTTCCGTAAGAACGTCGAATAAATATACGAACACACGGTAAATGGCGCTATTCGAAACCAGGACCGGCAGATTACAAGGCAAGATAACCCCTGAGCCACCGATGCTTAAAATGAATACATTTACGCTTAATGGACCGTCGCATCATTAAATTATAGTTAGGGTATGGTTGCGACGGATGAAGACACGCGTTAAGCGATTGCGATATAAATTGTGGAAGGAAATACTTTACCACGTGAATTAGACCGTGCTTGTATTGTAGTAAAACGCATTTGTGTTACTTTTTTTATATCATAAGGTGGCAAACGAGCGAGCGGCCACCTGAAATCGCTGAAATAGAGAATTGACGGTTGCCCATAGACATACGCAATTGCATATGCGTTGCCTATCTTTAATCGACGGAGAAGAGGATGCACAGAAAGAAAATATCTTCCCTTTCCATGCATCCTCTCATCCGGAAAGTCCACTTCACTTCCCATCCTTTCCTTATAAGAAAAAGTTAGGGAAGGGAAAGAGGACTAAATTAGACCTCCAGGACGCACACTCATCAGACGAAACGCGGAATTGCTTCCACTTCACGCCTCTCTTCTGTGTGGTCGTGGTATTTCACCGGGCGAGCCGGTTTAATTGTGGTAAGAAATAAGATTCTTATGAACATTATGCTGGTAAAAACCACGTTAAATTAAATTTGCACACATGTTAAGAATGTCAGTGATTGACCAAGAAGAGCCTAGAACCGTTTCAAATTAAAATCTGTATTATTTCTCGTAAAAGTTAATGCAAATTACAATTCAATTCTTTATGCACATTATTATTTATATCCGCACGATGTTTTAGTGAAATTTCAAACGGATCATGTTGAATACAAATGTCTTCAATAAATCTTTTAAGACTAGGAAAAACTTTAAATAATCTATTGCAGGGTATAATAAATTGTGCACTTAGTTTTTATTAATATTAATAAAAAATTCGTATGCATTCATTAATACGGGATTGCAGAGTTGAATGCACTTTCAAATTTGCAACATACATGTGTTGGAACAATATGATTGTTGTTCTTATAGTTTCCACTGCAGAAAACCTTTACAAAGACATAGTTCACACAGTTATTTTAAAGATAGAGATAGATAACATGTTTTTATTTGTGTGTATCACCAGTGGAAATCCCATAAACCAACTACCAATCGCCGGCAGTGGTACAATTTCTTCACAGCGGCAAACTGCCTAAACGTTTCGTAAGGCGCGGCGGTTAGGCAATGTTTTACTTCTACTACTTACATGACGAAAGCATATGACATATGTGCTCAAGTACATAACTAAATAAAGTTAGATACATGTTTGTATACACTTATATCACTCAGAAGTATTAAGATGGTTTCTCTTAGCTACGAATTATTTAAGTCAAGGATATTCACTGCGTAACTCGCTACGCTACGCAAACACTTTCTATCAACATTTCAAATGCTATGTAGCCTATTTTCGACAGATTTGCTTTATTTCTTTTGTTATTTTACAGTATATAGATATGTGTAGGCATAGAATTATAAATCTTTTCTTATCTAAGTGAAAATATTGTTGCTTTTATTTTAGGCTGTTTTACTAATAAATATCGTTACTTAACTACACTAGATCAATTACAGTTTCTACTCTTTTACACGGCCATTTATTAACTCATAATAACTAAATTACATCAAGATCTGTACAGCTTATAAATGATTTTCATACATTTGATTTTATAAAACAACCGCAACGTTAAGTAACAATTCCAAGCGAGCATTCTAGGTCACGCTCGGTCGAAATATTCAATTATAATTAATGATAATTTTAATTGTCTATGGATTACAGTTATTCGAAAAGGTACGTAATCTCCGCGGTGGCGTGGATCCACTCTTGGCGAAGATGCACATTGTAACCGGTGACGTCATTGAGCCTGACCTCGGCCTAAACGATAATGACAGGCAATTCATTATTCAAGAAGTTAACTTCATCATACATGCTGCAGCTACTATCAGGTACAAGAGTACTTAATAAACAAAAACCATATATCACGTATTACTTTTAAAATGTAATTCTGATTGGCATACTGCTAGAACGTAGTGTTAAGTAGTTCTGAAATTTTGCTCTCAAATATCTAGTTCAATATTTTGTTTGGTTTCCCGGTTGATGACAAAATAATTTATGTTTGTAATAATTAGAGGTTATTACAATCAGCGATTGAATAATGTAGTAGCAAATGTTGCTTGTCTTTTCTGGTCTACTTTTTACGTACACCACTGGATTTATGTTTATAAAATAAAAGTATATCTTAGTATGTTATTACAGATTCGATGAAGAATTACGTAAAGCAGTTTTACTTAACGTACGAGGAACTAAATTGATATTAGAACTGGCTAAGGAATGTAAAAACTTAAAGGTAAGTGTATGAAATACCAAACTTCTATATATAACGCTTAAGATTAAAGTAAACAACAACTATTCTTCAACAAGAGTACCAGGACCTCAGCAAATCTCATATATTGGGAGATAACCGAAAAATTACTTTGTGCATTCCAACCTGATTGAAGTTATGGAGCTTGATTTTTTCCTTACTATTTCTTCGTTTTCACTCTATCATCTCTCTTCTTTGCTCAAAAAAAACTCATATGATTCTACTGAAGGTCAGTTACCATGACTTGAGTTGTTTGGAAGTCACACGTCTTGTCTTGTCTTGTCTTTATAGAAGTGACGTGGGGAAGTGGCAATACTTTTTTATTCAAGCATCAACTCTTATTTGCAGCTCTTCTTCCACGTGTCAACAGCGTATTGCCATCTGCACGAGAAGCTATTGGAAGAGAAGCCTTACCCGCCGCCAGCTGACCCCCACAAGGTGATACAGATCGCAGAATGGATGGACGAAGAGTCCATAGCATTGCTAACACCAAAGTAAGATTATTCCTATTGTTCTCGATTTATAATATGCTAAATAGAAATATTTTGTTGAATATTTTGTCTTTAATATTCTTTATCTTGTGAATAAATAGATTGTTAATCATCGACTGACTATTACATTCCAGATTACTGAGTAAGCTGCCTAATTCTTACGCCTTCACAAAGGCGTTGGGCGAAGCTTTAGCCGTGGAAGCTATGGAGCACATACCTATTATTATCTTACGTCCATCTATAGGTAAATCTTTTAATAAAATATCTTAATCTTCATAGTCAAAATCAGTGAGTAATTAAGTTTTTTTACGAATTAAAAAAAACTTAGTAACTAGTTTGTAAAAAAAATAGTGTGTTCTTCCAGTCTATGTTCTACATCTGTGACAAATATCATCAAAATCCGTTGAGTCGTCCCGAAGATACCTTCAAATAAACATCAATCTAATCTTTCGCATTTATAATATTAGTAAGATGATGTTGAAGTGTTTTGTTTTGTCTTTGGTTTGTAAGACAGTCTAAAGATTTTATTTTATTTTTTACAGTGATACCAATTTGGCAGGAGCCTGTACCAGGTTGGACTGACAATATCAACGGACCAACGGGTCTTCTAATTGGTAATTATTTTTTTTCTTTTTTGACGAAGGGCAAATATTCTTCTTTTATGCTTTTTCTGACGATTAAAAGTTGGCAACTCATCAGTAAATGCCGATGTCTATGAGAAACGATTACTTCACTATTTCGACGAATCATGTTCGTTTGCTACTATTATAAAAAAGTTTAATTGCAAAAATATTTATTTTCAACTAGATATCGAATGTATGTAAATGCATCATTAAATCAACTCTTAATCTCTGAGTATTATTATTACATATGATACATATTGTCATTTAGCACATATTCTTGTAAACATGTTAGAATACATGTGTCCCTGCAGTGAAAACTCTTATGGAAACATATACGTTGTAATATTAAAACTACAAAATTCTTAAGACCGGTTACTGTTGAAATAATTTGTTTACCTTGGCCCATAGTCACCATCACGCTATAGTCGCAGTCAATTAAAGAGATTGGTATTTCGTAAGAGTTAAAACAGGACTTTTTACTAAATAACTGTGGTTTACCAGCCAAAAATTATGTTACGTTACTAGTAAAAAGTCAGTTTAATTATATGTATTTAAGTCGGCAAAAATACGTAGTATGATAATTATTAGGCATGTTTACATCACTTTATTAATATTTAAAATGGTTACATAATTTTCGTATTAACATAAAGGAAAAATCTAACCTCATTTCTTATATTTTTGTTGTGGAAAATATATAAATTTTAGTTGTTGTATATTGAGTTACTCGCCAAAAGACTTGTATGAGATATGTCACGTTAGAGATATGTTTTACGTAGGTGTATCGGCAATGGAAACATGATGTATAACATGTTTTTGTTTTTTACTAAGGTGCTGGTAAAGGAGTGATCAGATCTATGTACTGCAAGAGCAACAGTTACGCAGACTATCTGCCTGTTGATGTTTTTATAAACGGTATCATGATAATGGCATGGAACTACCTACACTACGGGTAAATATATACTCTATGCATAAAGACGTAGAGCTTAAATTTCTTTGTTCTTGTAGACATCCATGAAACTTCTTTTCATTGTATTCACAAAATACGTATTACTTATTTCAATGAAAATATGTTTTTGATCAAATATTTGCACAGAAAAAACAATTAACATTGGGTTTCTGAGATCAAAATCTGCGTTTAAAAATATTGTTATCTCTGTTTTGTCAACGATAGTGACAGGGATGACGATATGTTTTATACATAGATTTTAATATCAAAAAACCACCAAGATCAGTAAGAAACACAACATAACTTCAAAATTGTCAATCTAGAATTCTGTCTTTTATTTTCAAATTTGCTTGATATTTCGCAGTGATAAAAAATCAAATGTGGTCAACTTCACATCTTCCGCTGAAATTAAAGTGACATGGCTTGAAATGATTGATGCAGGCAGAGAAATTATTATGAACCGAGTGCCTTTAAACGGCGTCGTATGGTAAGTGTACATTCTTAATAATTTTCAAAATAAACTGAAATATACACAGCAAATTTAATAATTCTTAAAATGTAAGTGGTCGCCTTTGATTTCGATAGCGCGGAATTAAAAAGGTAGTCTATAACATGCCAAGGTATATCAGCTATCTTCTCGTCCAAGTCCTGTCAAAATCGGTCCAGCAGTTCCGGATATTAGCTGGAACAAACTACCTTGCGGACAGACATACTAAAATTAAAAAAAAATGGTTTTTCGTTATCACCAACTAAAATACATGGTGTTCAATTATTTTTTTTTATATTAAATACACACACCACAGCTTTTTAATATGTACAGATTTCATATGTGTAAAGTCAACCATCCTGTACTTTGCCAGCGTGGTTGTCTAAAGCTTAGTCGCATAAACTTAGGGTAGTCTCCGAGTCCCTTAGTGGGAACGTACAGTAAGCTAATGATGTTACATTTGATAACCAAAGTTTTCAATATTTTTTTTTTATTTTTCAGGTACCCAGGTGGTTCGATGAAACATTCCAGACTATATCATAATATCTGCGTTTTGTTCTTCCATTGGATACCAGCGATAATTCTAGACACACTACTCTTTTGTCTTGGCTACAAACCAGTGTAAGTGTTTTGGTATGTTACACAATCAATAGATTAAATTCTTTATTCAATTACGTTCAGTTCAATTTAATTAGATAAATATACGTTTACATTTTAAATAAATTTTATATCAAAGTATCGTTTGTATTTTAAACACGACTTTCAAATGTCCTAAAATAAGGAAATTGATGTTTAATATGTTAATTCATTTTGTATTTAAAAGAGTATATACATATGTATTATATATACATATGAATGTATAGATGATATTAAAAATTGTAATTGAAATAAACATTTAATTTTTTTACTAAAATATTTTCATTAAGACAGGTAAAATGTAAATTCGAAATTTTTTAAGAAAATCAATAACAGTTCAAAATAATAAATACATTATACACTTATTTTATGGTATAAAAAACTATTAGCGTTTAGCAAAGTTCTAATTATTTAGATTTGTTATACATCCATTCGTAAGCATTGATTTCAATTTGTTTTTTAATATTTTAACAGTTTGTGTGAATTTGGTACAAAACAAAAGAAAACAGAACAGAACAGAACTAAGAATAGAACAGAACAAATTTAAAATAATTAAATAAATGCTTTTATTACAGGTTAATGCGCGTACACCGTCGTATTAGCAAAGGTTTTGATGTGTTTGAGTATTATACCAATAACCAGTGGGATTTCAAATCTGATATCGCACAAACTGTACGACAGAGACTCAACACTAGAGAAAGACGGGATTACAAAGTAGATGCTATCGGTAAGAATTAATGATCTTTTACACATTTTCTATACACAATGTACTACTCTTTGATACATTTCCATATCAGCTCAATATACGTCCCCACTAAAGGGCTTGGAGCCTACCCTAAGTAACGGGTGACTAGACCATAGTCAACAAAAGTAGTATATTTTAAAGTGTATAGAGACAGAGGTGCTAAGATATTAAGTGTTCGTCTGTTACTATAATTATGGGCACTTTAAATAGACTCATATATATATTTGATCAACCACTCTGCGCAAATGCATCGTATGATGTATATGATTTATTGCGCAGAGTGGTTGATTCAGTTAATTTGATGACTTTGGTTGTACTTATATGATTTATCACTTTAGGACTTCTTATACCTGGATATCTTGTCTGACACTTTATTATTGCAGCTTACTGTACGTATGAATGATCAAAAACAATTATTTTCAGGACTCGACATATTGAAATATTTTGAAGACTGCATCAGAGCTGCTCGAAAATATATCCTGAAGGAGTACGACGATACCCTTCCAGCCGCAAGAAGGCACATGAAGATGTAAGTCTATTACTTCACAGTTTAAGTGAAGTCTTTTTTAAATAAAAGTTCATTTATAATTCAACTTTGTAAAGTCAAGAAGCTTTCATATTTAGTTTGATAGCCATTTACTTCTTAGCACCGGGAAAAGACTATTTGGCAAATTGCTTAACATTTTATGTAATTATTTTGCCGGACTGAACTTCATTTATTGTAATCCTTAGACAATGTAAAAAGCGAGAAATCAAATCTATAATTACTATCCCCTTGTAGTTTTGTTAGGAGACAAAAGTACGATTGTACCCTAATAAAACTACAGGGGGATACAATGTTCACATTATTCTTGTAAAAAAGACTAAAATAATTATAATGTATTTATTTCAGTATGTGGTTCGTCGATCTGGTTGTCCGATGTCTGTTTTGGGGATTAATTCTCTATTGGTTGAGCGGTTGGTGTTCTTCTTTATACACCGCGACGGTTGGTTACAAGGACACCCCTGCAGTACTTGGTACCAGCATATAACTTATACTGTTGGCACTAGAGTAACTGCTGCTGTTGGCACCAGGGTAACCCCTACTGTTGGCACCAGTACTTAACAGCTTTAAGTTATGTTTTATATTGTCAATTTATAAGTAAGTTAGGAAAGTAAATGTATTATAATTGTTAAGAAAAACAATATTTTTATCACTCGTTCTCTTATAATTCAGTCTTGTATTTCATACAAATTGTATTGCTTTGAAATATATAAATTAAGACTGATAGATGTCCATTTATATATAATAAATGATATATAATTCGATATATAATTCGGGAAAAAGTGAAATGTCTAATGTTAAAATTGTAAATGACAATGAATAAAAACATAATCATAGTATTATATAAAGTATAGTAAAGTTTTTGCTTAACTATTTACCTTGTCTGCTTTCCTTATGGGTTTAATTGTATAAAAATAATCTTAATTTTAGACATTTAGAAAAATAAAATTCTGTAAACTAAGATCTTTTTGTATATGAAAGGTTTTTGTAAAAACTTTTTTTAAGGAATAAAAATCTTTGTATCTTTTATAATTTGCGATTTAAAAAATGCGCGAAATATAAACCCCATCTTTGTTTACATAATAACATTGAGTTTTCTAAAACAAGAAACTAAAGCACTAAAAGGCCATCTTAGCCATTTTCTTATAAAGAATAAATGGGAAGGGAAACTGGACATGCAGGAGGAGGGATTGCAAAGCCAGAAGACACACCTTTTCTGTATATTTTCCTCTGTCTGTACGCGCTACGCTATTTCAGCTACTGGTCGCTTATTCGTTTTGCTATAAAAAGGAGAAGTCAAAAAGAATAAAAAACTTATTTGGGAAAAAGTATAAAAGATAAAAGTTTTTCATATATACAGTTTATTCAAGACTTACATTATAATTTTTATTATTTAATTGAAATACACACAAACACACGTGCTGTAAATTTTAAAACATTAATCCAAAAAATAAAATAGATTAAGATTTATATATTAACTTTTTGTTAACATAATATTGCTAAAATGATTCTGGATTATTATATCTTATAAAAGTATAGAAAAGTAATTAAATTATACGTATTTGATATTTATAAATAGGGTTGAATATCTAACGAATATCGTTAGATTTAAATTGAGGTAACCAATAGAATAGAGATAAAAATAACTTAGCAGAAAAATCCATACACAACTCGCACCCGATTTTATTTTTTTTGCAAATGAAGGTAGTTCTAAAATTTTGTTCGTATAAAGAATTTATTTTTGTGTATACTCAAGTTTACATTCATAACATAGAATTAATAATAAAATAGACAGTTTTATTTTCACTAATATAAAATGAATAATAATGTAAAAATGTGTCTATTACAAACTAATTTAAAGACATCATATTTTTTGTTCCAATAATTTCGTTTAACAATTTATATAATTTTATATTTCTACAATATAGTTGTGGTTTATCTTTGGATATTCGCTATTACAGAATTCTTTTAATTACGAGAATGAGTACTAATTCGTCTTATTTAAATTTAGATTAATTAATTCATAATTAGCAAAACATTAATTTATATAACTCATTTTATTACACAAACTATACAAAATATGAATACAGTGTAATTTGATTTGTTTGATATCTAAATTATTACCAACATTGTTAAGACTTAGATTGGTATTACTTAAAACTATCAATAAAAATCCTACTGCAATGTCTCATCGAACTTTACGATATATAAATGTTGGTACTACTTATTCCTACAACATTCTATCGTAAACGACCAGCTAAGAATCTAAATACATAATATCCCGTAGCAGCCTGGAACATTCGATGCACCCAATATAATCTGTTTGAAAATAAAAATTACATTAAACACAAAGGAAGAAAACATAAGTTTGAAGGTATGCATATACGAATTAATGGCAAATTGTACCTTTATTAGGCTGTAATATCACAGATTTAATAAAAACTGACATGTTTGTATATTTTTATAGACTAAAACGTTTCAAAATAAATCCATAGACAACAAATAGCATTGTCAGTGACATGTGTAATAAGTTCTCATATCCCATGAATTCGACTATATGAAAAAGCACACTGAGTTGTAATTACACAAACTAATAAAAAGCCTGTGCCAGTGGTTTGAATATTACGAGATTGCTTTAATGTAGGTCAATAATAACATTTTTATTTTGTTTTCCACTGCCGAAACATCTGAACAAAAATAGGAACTAAACTGTGGTACTTGGTGGTAATAAGTCATAGGTTAAGGTTTGGTTTCGTAATGTTCTGTTAACACACAAAATATTTGTCTTTAAATGCAATATGAAAATATTCAATACCTTTTTAACTTTGACCTAGCATTAGGTAGTGATTCAACGCTGTCTTTCAGTATGAATCGTCGTATGCCCAACATGTAAGCACCGATGTAAGCATCCCAGTTGAACTGAGCAGGCCAGTGGGGGAAGGCGCTAGAATCGCTCGCACAGTTCGCTTCAGAGTGAAGAGCTGTGAGTTCCGATATACCGAATTGCCATTCATGGTTCGCGAAATATTCTCCTGTAGCCGCCGCCATTTTGAATCGACGAGCTAACTTCATCATTCTGTGGTTAAAAAAGTAAATTAATTAAACTCTTAAAGCACTGAACAAAATCCTTTCAAACTTAAAGACTTTCTCACCATGACTATATTTTTTAGATTTAAAAGACAACAGAGGAGTTAAACAGGTGCATTCGCTCCGAAACAATTTCGTAGCAAACTTCAAAAATGTATGGAACTGAGGCGCGACAATCACGTGACTAATCGAAAGTTATTTTCAGTTCTATATATTTTTGAAGTTCGTTATGGAATCGCTTCGGAGCGAATGCACTTTGTCTAACCTTCCAGGGCTGGTAAATGAAATTTTGTTCCACGTATGATATGATTTTTTTTCAATAACTTACATTGCTTTCCTGCCCTGTGCACGCAGTAACACATCATAAAGGAAGGCGGGTAAGAAATGGCAAGATATCTCCCAAAATGTATTCATAAAACGGGACTCAGTAAAGGAGAAATTCGGATACCACATCACGTATCTGAAAAAACGAGAACATTTATTAATTATCAATATTAAAATCTGTAATAAAATTATTGTCACCTAACTTTTATATTGCATTCGTGCAATTAAAAAAAAGTAATTAAAAAAAAAGTTTTTATCAAGTTATTATTAATTAAAATAACTAAAATATCAATACTACTAAAAATGTTTCTTACTTGGTGGGATTTTCCCTCGCCCATTTAATACAGAGCCGTGTAAATTGACCCCATTGTAGAGGGTTGATGGAGCCAGATGTGACATTATAAACTGGACAACGACCCGGCCTGAAATAATTTTATTTGCCTAATAAATCGTTGGTTTCTAACACCTAAATCGCTGTATAAAACATATTGTTATCTCTGTTTTGACAAATTTGTCAAATATCTAACGATGACAATATGATTCAAAATCTGAAACTTTACATTACAGACTAAATTATTTTAAAATAACATTTCAATAAAACGCATAATTACTCAGAAATAACAAAGCGATGCTATGGGTACCTGCATCCAATCAAAACATTAAAGCTACACAATTTACAATTCACGCTAATACTCGTATATTCGAAAATACATTTAAACTAAATATAACTATATAATAATAACTATTCAGTTTATTTCACAATCTTCACAAAATAATTAAAAATTCAGATAAAGCCATATTTGAATTTCTACATACCTCAGTTTACTTAATTAAGAAAGTTTAAAAGGTTTTCTTACAGAAATTAACGGGGAGTATAAGAAGTAAACGAGTCACTTACTGTTTACATCCTTGTCGCCAAGCAGCAAGAATACAGCTATTGACAACTAGATCAACTGGCACTAAGTCGACCACGTACCGCTCTCTACAGTACCCGGAACGGTAAGTACCACGAGATATCTCCATGATTATACCTTAAATATAAAGAGCAACTCATAACTGTTAGGAAGAAAATCCGAAAATGTGTGTGTGTGTATTGACACAACACTAGCCTTACTAAAATATCGACCTTTATGTCCCCTCACTATTCATTCTGACACTGTATTTTGTAACGAAAGCACGTCATTCGCGCCAAAGGATTCTAACTAAAAATATATAAAATAACATAGATGTTTTGGAAGTTATGTTGCTAGATAAAGAAGCAAATTGTCATCTAATTAATAGTGAATAACACCCGAGAAAAATCACGCAAAAGATTACGATGCGTTACCTATGCCCTATAACATACCGAAGAACTACATTAGTAGCGTTGTATTTTACTAAATAATTCAATAATTACGTCTATCTTATGAATAACTTAAATTAAAACATTTTTATACAATTCAGTTTGTATCCATTCAAATATTTTTTATTATAATAATTTAAAATGTTAATCAATAAGAAGCATTGTATATAGGACAATTTAAATCCTTTAAAACTTAATATGTTTTGTAGTATTTCTACTTTCTATGAGACAGACAAGGTTTGAAGTCGGGAAGTCATAAGATCATGCAGTCTACTTTCCAAACAGGATGGCTATTTCTGTACGTTGATCCCATACTATCGGTCAAATAAATATACCTGTACTAACTATATTAACAATTTTATTTAAAAATTATCAAGGAAAGTCTAATCTTAACAACTAACTATTATTACAATAAAACATACAGACGAAATGATAACCTTCTCCTCACGTGATCGATTTCTAATTTTTCAGTATTGTCAATACAAAAAAGGGCATGACAGACGGACGGACAACAAAGTGATCCTATAAGGGTTCCGTTTTTTTCCTATGAGGTACGTAATGAAGAATACGAATAAGGAGAAGAACATACCTGTTACTCCGTAGACATTATCTATCCAACCGGGAAAAGGTTCTTGATAAGCTGCAGTAACTGAAACATTATATACAAACAGTGAGTAGAATTACTTAAATGAACTTAATGCACAATCCAAATCTATTTCGATAACAATCAACTTAACTATGTCATATCTAAAATATGTACATTTATAACTCTATGTCTCATAAATAGACGACTTTGACGATATGATTGCGTGTGACTGGTCATGTGGTAGTCGATCGATGTTGACCTGATGAATATTTTATTAATGCCATGAGAAAAAGTATCGTTACAATATCTGTCTTGAAAGCAACTGACTGCTATCGATTTCACGAAGGTCTCCTCCAATATATTGAAGGCTTTTAAGTATGAAATGATAACTGTAATTTTTAATGTTATATTTCGTTGACTGTGATAGAGAAATGCGGTGTTAAAATAAATGAGTCATCTTACTAATATTATAAAAGCGAATGTTTAGAAGGATAGATGATTGTTAGAAGGTATCTCCAAAACGGTACAACGGATCTCGATGAAATTTGGCATAGATGTAGAACATAGTCTGGAAGAACACATAGGCTACTTATTAAGTTTTTTTGATTCCGCGCGGACGGTGTTGCGGGCGACAGCTATATGACAATAAATCTTACTAATTTTATAAATGCGAAAGTTGAAATAGATGGATGGATATTTATTAAAAGGATATCTCCAAAATGGTACTACGAATCTCGATGAAATTTTGCACAGCTTTAGGCATAGTCTAGAAGAATACATCGGTTAAGTTCTTTTAATTCCACGAGTCGCGGGCAAAAACTTGTACTACTGAAATATCTATCGAATATGTGTCTTGAGATGCCTTATTTATAAAGTAGTAGTAATAAAGACAGAAATGTGTTTAGGGATTTTACTTATTTGGATAAGGGGCGAGTATAAGATGTAACTTAACTTAGATTCATCACAATATTTTGTGGAAATGAAATATTTTTATTTTATTTATTGTGTAACTTAGTATTTCTTAGATAAATAACACGTATTATAAATCAAGCAAAATATAACGCAACAGATAATCCTTGTTGTCATTTGTTTGCAATGTATAAAATAATTTTTGCAACATCCATATTCTAAGTTTATATTACGACTTTAAATTACGTTGTGCAACCGCGGTATAAGGTAAGTATGGATTTGAAATAGTGTTGTAAAATAGTTAATGCCACTAAGTCATTTAATGAAGAAACACATCACTTTGTTTTTAGTATTTATTGGTTGTGCCAACGGGGCATAAAACATATAGTACAAGATTAAAATCTTAATATCTTACTAATATTATAAATGAGATTGTTTAGATGGATATATAGATTTTGAAACGCCAATAGCCTGATGATTAAGGGATGGTCGAGGGTTCGAATCTCGCCATTCGACTGTTGTCGTAAACCATTTCCTAGCACAAGCCTACAGCTTAATTGGAATGGTACAAGAAATATTAGTAAATTAAGGGAAATCTGCTAACATAGTAATAAAATAAAAAGATTTTTGTTTGAAGGTATCTCGAAAACGGCTGAACGGATCTTGATGAAATTTGACACACATTCAGAACATAGTCTGGAAGCACACATAGGCTACTAATTGATTTTTTTTTCATTAACGCCGATGGAAACGCGGTCGACAGCTAGTAAGTCATAAATAGATCATAAACTTACCTATAGACGGTCTGATTATGCAAACTGGTAGATTTGTATGACTGAATACAATCGATTCAGCCAACGCTTTGGTAAGAGTGTAGGGATTGGGATGTTCTCCCTGAAACAAAAAAATGAATTATGGGTTTCTTCTTAAATTAAATCGACATAGAAACAAATAAATTTTATACTTTCCGAATCAAATCTATATTTTATGTTACATTTTAACAAATTAAAATTCCATTCAAGACTTCATTCATTTATATGTTTATGATGTAGGCTTTGAACGCAGACACACTTGTATCGACACATATTGTCATCCTTTACACTCTCTTTGAAAAAATAGAGAGAATAGTATGTCACGGCACTTGATATCAATAACTGCACAATATTTTAAATTCTTTAGCTGCAGAAAGCGAAGTCCAGTTGTGAACTTACGAAGATAACAAATACTAGATTCCAAAATGTTTTTTTAAATAATATATCTTACCTGTAAAGTTTCCGCAATAGTATCGACTGTATCTGGCGGCAGCATTTTAGTGCATCTTACTATACTGTCGGGGTCATAGGGCGGCGGGTACACGCGTTCTTCGATGTGACTACGCGGCGCGTTGCTATACGCTGTAGATACGTGGACTAGAGCCTAAAAGTTTTAATACACTTGAATATAGAATGATCTGTAGGAGCTCCAAATATTGCACTTGATTGCGGTGGCGCGGGACCGCAAAGGGAAGGGACTTTGTCGGAGGTCAAGGCCCACTTTGGATCAATGATCTATTTAGTTTTGAGAATAAGAGGCAGTTTAAATACTCTTACCAAATACTACCACTGCCACTACATATATAGACAACCCAATTTTATAAAAAAAAAACAAAGATAGCTTTTTATTTAGATGTTTCCGTAGTGAAAAGCTAGGTTAAGTGGAATTTAATGGAATTTAAATTTGACGTCGCTTTTTTAATATATATCATATATTTAATATAGCATATCAGGACTATCATACTTAAGAAATATTCTCATGAATAGATGGATGGCTACCTTTAACAGAGGCATATCCGAAGCCAGTTTTAACAGATACGCGGTGCCCTGCACGTTCAGCGCTGTAGCCGCTTGCAACGGTTCAGTAAACTTGACAGTAGCCGCTGAATGGAATACGGTCGTCACCGTGCTCAGCAGCTCTCGTTGTTCAGCACTGACACCCAGGTTTGGTGCCGACACATCGCCTGTTATTGGAAACAGCTTCCCGAGACGCTCCGGCCAACGCGCACGGATACGGTCGAAAACCTATTTGTTTTAGTTATTGGTGAGAATAATATTGCAGTAACCAAAAATAACTACGATGCAGTTATTAAAGTATTAAGAGAAAAAGACTAATTGAAGCTATAATCTAACGTTTTATGGTATAGAGTACTTTTTAGTACTCGCGGGTTAAATCCTGTCAATCAAATATTGTCGTGGTGCAATTTTGTGTAATAATTCATAGCTTTTATTTATATAGTGCTTCACTTGTACTTAAAATATTTGTTTTATATCGTATCTGGACAAAAGCCGAAAATACATGCCATAAGGAAAATAGACACAAAAGACATTTTTAAATAAATAAAAAAGCATACAAACCTTCAAGCAGTAACAATAAAACATCATACCTGATTTTTAAGCAGTTCCTTATACCTTTGTTCGACCGACAATCCTCGCTTTGGTCTCATTAGAACATAGATAGTTTCTATACCAGCACAACTTCTTAATAGTTTTTCCAGTAACGCTTTCCCTACGAAACCAGTACCTCCCGTAACAAGTATTACTGCGCCGTCGTAGTAATCTGATATCGCCTCATTGCTTTGGTTATAAGTACCGAAGTTGCATTCTTTATTTAAATTTGGAGTAAACGGATCATTCCCGTTTAAGCAATCCATGTTTTTTCTGTACAGTAAATAGTAGGAGTTTAGTATTATGTTGCGCGATGACACGATAATTTAGGACAATGTATTAAGGTTAAATTAAGATAATAATAGAAATGTATCCTAAATTGTCTTATTTTTATCAATGAGTGTTGTTAAGATATTGATACTTACTGGTAAATATCCATTTTACTATTTTTTTTTATTTTAATAATTTCTATAAATTCCAATGTTCGCCACTGCTTCCGCAATATTATTTCTGAAACAAAATTAATATTTTTTTTTACATTTTAAGTGAAGCTCATTCAAATATCTACGGCATTTCTCATCATCAAGCTGACTATTATAACTACTGATAGTTTACATAACACTTAATCACCATACAAGATTCACCATAAATTAGACATCAACGCGTTACGGGACAAATTACATGATAATTGATTATTTATGCGTATTACACAGTTTCTGAGTCAAGGTAAATCAGCCGATCGGGCAATATGTTAAACTGGGAGATTGTAAAAGTAAAGTTTTGAGAAATTTCGCCACTGAAATGTTGTAATGTTTGCACTTTGTGTTGTGCTTTTGTCGTTTATTCTATTGATAGTAATGATTACGTTATATCAATATGACAACTGCGATGATGTTGCAGATTTTACTACCATAACAAAGGTTAGGTTTGAGTAAGTAAGAACGAAGTGTCCAATACGTAATCTTGATCTTCGTTAACAAACGATTTGTAAAGATGGCAGGGGTATTGCATGGTATCGACGCGGAGACACTTTTTTTTATTAAGATTAGCGATTGTTTTGAAAATGTACAACAATATTTCAATTGTTATTTTTAAGAAATATTACGTGAAACTTTTCAAACAGATGTTAAACTCTTTAGTTGAGGTAGTAATAATTAATCCGTTGTTTTTTACAGCACGAAACACAGTTGCAATATGTTGATATATCAATTTCATTAAATACGTGAACCAATTTATTACAATTTTGACATACGCAAAACAATTGCATCATTGTTTATCATGATGGAGATCTGTGTCACGATGACAACGAGACGAGTTTTTTGTAATTTAAATCCGATGAACAACAATGTTCATGCTGAACCTAGCTTAGATGCTCCAACTAAATTTACAATAAAAGGGACGATTTTTTATCTTATCGATTATCGATAAATAACAGAATTTGTTAAGTTTAACACTACGTTACTTATTTCTCATTTATAATTTAAATTCGGCCTGATTTTAGCTGGTATTAATAATTTAGTTTCAGTCGAGCTTTAATTGTAGTGACAAAGCTTTTAAGTTCTTATTGATTTTGTAAGCACTTTTTATTCTAAGAATATTTGCCTTTGCGGCGTATAATTATTTTAATCATCGATTCAGGAAATCCTGGAAATTAAATGTGTATTTCTTAAGGTTAATTTATAAAGAAAATCTTCAGCATCAAAATAGATATTACGTAAAGTACTAACTTTTTAATTATTTTAAATTAATTTAAAATTAGAACAATATTAAATAAACTGTCATTTTACATAACTAGTTGTTTTTTTTTCTACTTAAAATCATATGTCAAAACCAATTTCTCCAATAAAAAAATTAAAACACTAGAAATAACACTCACCATCAATATTGGGAAACACTCGACTACGAACGATATGAAAAAAAAATTATATCATTTTTTTTAATCCTCGCCGCACTACGTTTGCGAGTTAACCGGCTCGCGTCGCGGCCTGGCTTTCACTGCTGTCTACTGGTCACGTAATAGCCCCTGTAATATCAACAGAACATACGGCTCTATATTGCACGCCGTCAACCGTTTATAAACGTACAAAATTTTTGTTTGCACTGTTTTAATATTTTATTACATATATTTGCTGTAGTGGTGCTATACATTTAAAACGTTCAATAAATCTAAAATTAAGTTAAATGTTTAAATAAAGAATTTCATTTATCTTCTGCAATTTCTAATGAAATACGAGAATAATTAAACTTTAACTTTTATAATTTTATAGTATTTAATTAATGTTTGAATTATTTACGGGGTTTGGTTAATTGAAAAAAATTGCGTTTGCTGATAATTAAAAACGATTTGTTTGGATATGTTTGTAAATAATATTCATCTATCAAATTAACACTTTCTCAAGTAAAATAGATAACAAATATAAATATGTAAGTGGATATTATTTCTTATTTACTAAAAGTACTATATTATTTGCACACTCGCTTTGCAAAAACAGAATCAAAACAAAATAAAATTACATATATACTATTGTTTTTATATTTTCTAATAAACTGTACTAAGTATATTTGTTGAATTGATACTCATGTATCAATTAAAGCGTTACTAACATAAGGAAAACTCTATGAGTGTAAATGCGTAATATCACGACGTATGTTCGTTAACGTAAGTAATGCACAATGAAAAAAATGTGTACCCATCCGTTACAATGTATGAATACATTTAAAAGGGCTATTGATTTGTGAACTTTTGTAAAAATTGAAAACAAGTTAAAATCACAGATTACTGTCTTATAATATAAAAAAATAATATAAAGTTGATTATCGGTCAATATCAATCAAGATCCGGGCACTGTATTTCCTGTCCTGGTTTCTTTTACACGATTGTTTATTTAAAACTTGTACTCCGATTCTTTATTTCATTATTAATGACTTTTAAGAGGGTAATGTTCTCAGATATATGTATATTTATTTGTATACATTTGTAAGAATGAAAAGTTTAAAGTTTAATGGGTTGTTCCTTTAAATTTCTTCTTTATAAATATGTGTGTATGGTTATGACGTTTCTGTCGGACTTTCGTGCAAATGTAACAAACGATTTTGTTAGCAAATAATCAGAATTGTAGCAATTATAGTTTTAATGTATTCCATTTGTGACGTATGATATGCTGGTATTATATGAAACACGCCACTATTCTATTACGTTATGTGTGAATATTATATACACTTTAAGAATTTCTGAAAGACAGAATATTATCATATTATATTTACCACTGGTTTCCTTGCAAAATCCCTCAAAAAATGCAGGTATATTACTTTCATTTATAAGATTTTCTGTAACAGTTCACTGTCGTCAGCATAATCATCTCTGTTCTTTTTCCTCCAAATTGTAGGTACTCTTCCATTGTTATTGATAGCCGTAAGCAGACAGACATCATATCCGAATCCACTCCCTTCTTACACATATCATACTAATCAATCATACTATATTTAGTCTACCTTTGGATCCATTCATATTCAATCTCATTCAATTCACTGTCAGCTTCATGAATGTTTCAATGAGAATTATAAGTAGCGCTTACGGATACCGTGTAGGGCGGATGTGACGCAACTTATGTCATAACTTAACGAAATAATGCAAACAGAAATAGGAAAGTTGTAATGTCGGTCACCGCTTAGACATAATCTAAATAAGTATTATATAATATGCGACGGCGTGATAACACAAAATATTTAATAATTACAAAAAAACGGTGTATATTTTATAAAAAATAGCTAGCGCCCGGCGTTGTCCGATTTTTTTTGTGACTGAATTGCCACTGATTGCCTGAGGAGGCATTTACAGCTTCACCGGGCTTGAGGTGGCCGAGCGCAGATGGCACTTAGCCTACACCTCGTTTAAGAGTAACTAGGCTCCCTCAGGAACCTCGGCTCGGGCCGTTACTTCGTTATTATTACCGGATTGGGCGTTGTCCGAGCAAATTAATCAAATTTAAAAAAAAATCTTAATGACTGGAAGAAAAAACGTATATCGGGAATCCAATTATCAAATACAGTACAACCTGGATAAGGAAGAATTGTATAATAGTCTATAAGCATGAAAAATATCACGATCCGTTGGACTCCCGCTTTTCTAGGTGCGACTGTACTATTATTCCATAGCGCTCGTTGTTATGAAATACAATATTTAATTTATATCATGGACAGTATAAAAACGCGTTTCGTTATAAAATAAAGTCGTCATTATGTTAATAGACAGTTTACATTCCGTTACAGAAAATCATTGGCTTGTAACGCGCCGAATTTGCCAAGAGCGTTGACTAGGTCAAGCGCAAAATAACAGGAATAACTTTTTTTTAAATTTATTACTTGTACTAGAATTATTTAATTTATCATTATATAAATTAAATGATAAAGGAAACATTAAACGGGGCTATTAACGAAAGTACTGGTAATTAATCAATAATTAATTTATAACTTCTAATTTAGGGTAGGCTAGAGCCCCTCGGTAGGGACGATTTAAAAATCAATAGACCAACTCCCTCCTTGTAATACTCCGGGTTAAAATACAAATTAAACCTCGCTCTGTTTTGTTGAAATATAAGACGTATTTGTAGAGTAGCCATAAAACATGTGAAATATTCTTTAATTAGGAACCGCGTGGACAATAATAGATCAACACGGGGGAGGAATAACTATTGCGTTTACATTATTCCAGTCCAGTGATTGAATCTATTGTATACTGGAATGCACTGTGTAAGTCCCTATGTAGGTATACAATTTTTGACCCAAAGAAGTAATTGTTAACTATACTGGAATAATTTAAACAAGGAATAAAGACAAAAAAGATAATTATTTCAGATGTAATTAAAAGCCTCTACAATCTTAACACTTCTTACTAACACAATTATTGTTGTAAATATTATTTACAGCCTCATTATAGTATTAAATATTTATGAAATAAGTACTCTAGTCAATCCATAAATATCAGAATCATATAACAGAGTATACCATTTCACCTGATTGTTATTGGTTTTGTGGTTTCCAATAGACATGACACGTGATATATGATAGTCCAAGCTTTTCAATTGATATATTTAGATCAAACGAATGTTTTGAATATATCTAATACTCTGATAATCTAATAATTAAAAAGAATAGTCATAACAAAGATTTAACGACGTCAGATTAGTCCGTCTTACTATTATTGGTTAATGTGCGAAAAATTATGCATATAATGAACATTTTACGTTGATTCTGTATTCATTTATATATAAAATAACTAACAATACGTCGATCTAAAAATATTTATAGTTTTCTTCATTAGATAGTATTTTTTTAAATAATCCGGAATCATTTTGAGAGCTTTTTTCCTTGAAGCTATTGACCATACCCAGAGCTTTCAAAGTTATATTATTTTTGTTAATTTTCAGCCAGCAGACAGAAATATTAATTTAAGAAGTACTTTGTCCCATTGTTATAAAGAAAATCAGTCTAGTAAACGTTATTCCGTTTTCAAGGTTCAAACATATATCACAATTTCAAAGAGGAGTTGGCACATTATAGGTCATTTAAATAGTTTAACTCTGTTAATTTTAGTATGAGAAATACTAGTGGAGTTCGCGTAACCGAGACAAACCATATCCTGTGGAAGACGCGAAGTTACGCAAGATTTAATATTTGTTTAAGAAATACTTTGTACCATTGTCATTAGCTTACTTACTTAAAACTTCTACTATAAAGAAAGTTCACGTTAAAGTGTTCTTTGGACAATTTCAATATTGATTAAAAATATAGCGAGTTACTTTTAGATGATAGAGTTTTTTATGAATGAAGAAGACGTAACTAATAGTTAATTACTTTATATTAAAAGTTAATTCAGATGTTAACTTTGGCAACTTCAACACAAATGTTTTTTTTAAATTTTATTACATTGATAAATGTTGGTTTGATAAAGTGAATGAATATGATTTATGACTTTATAATAGACATTTGATTTACATCGATAACCTTTATCGATATGTCGATATATCTATAAAGTTTTATTTTATCGATAAAATCAAGTTTTGTTTTATTGATGTTAATCATAAATTAATTAAATCATTTAATTTTATATTAATAATAAAAACTGTTTCCGAGATACTTCTGGTATTTTAGTTACATATTAGTACGACCAATAATGATACGATTATGGTCATACTGGCTGTCGCCCGCGACTTCTAAGCGAATTAAAAAATAATAAATAGCTTGAGTTTTTCCAGACTATGTTCTATATGTGTGTCAAATTTCATCAAAATCCGTTGAGCCGTTCCTGAGATACTGTCAAACAAACATCCATCAATCCATCTAAACATTCGCATTTAAAACATTTTTAAGAAGATAAGTAATATCAAAACAACTAAGTTCTGTATAATTTTAGGAATATAATCAAATTTCGCATTGTGTTTTTATACAACAAAATATAATATGATTGCTCCAATAGTACAACTAGATTTGTGTAAACAATTACCCACTTTACTAATATTATAGCAAAGTAGGAAACACGCTAGCGCAGGGCGGTGAAAGCGGTTTTGCTTCATTACGCTGCGCAAGTGATGTTCGCATTGGAGAAATGTGTCGATATCGATATTTTGGTAATAATTAAAAATTTTATAAAGCGCGCACCATCTTTCGACCATCACTTTAACTTATTTGGTATAAAATTGGACTAAAAATAATTTTATTAATTTTGTTGACATAAGTTTTGAAAAAAAAAATAGTAAGTAAATAATAGTAAAAATAGTAAGTAGTAGTAAAAATGCATAATCACTTCGGATAGTTTCATAGGAGATGAATTTTACAATAATTTTAAAAGACCATTGCACAGTAAAATTAATTATTTTGATCTTTAGTATGCAAAGATCACCATCAAATTTCATACAAAATTATGTAAGGTATATGAGGTACTAAAAAATCTGAAAATATTTCAATCTGTTAAAGGAGCCGATAAGCATTTACTCGATAGTTTCTCATCCCAACACTAATAAAAGACCGGTCTGCAGTTATGAACGAATATGTAGGTAATGTTACGTCACACAGAATCCGTGCCATCGCGACGTTTGGCCATTCAAGCGTTTCGGCGCAACATCATCGCTAATTGGGTAACTATTAGGAATATATCCTATTTCATATGTCATACATTTGATATAAAGCAATCTATTGCTATGGTGATAGGAACGGTGAACTGCCCCGAGTGTCAAACATCAAGGGTTGATAGTCATTTTTGACTAAGCCAAAGTGAATTCGTTTTTTCGACTCTAACGAAGTACAATAAACACACTTCCCACGACACTACCAAATATTTCAGCGTATTGTTACACATCCAAATGAATGCAAAATAAGTGCAACAAATACAGGCTTCAGGAAATTTTTTATGAATAATTTTTTAATTAAAATTTCTGTCTTAATTTAGCAGGTGTTGTATTATTTGATGTCGGCACGTAGTAAATATTGCGAGTTACTGTATCATGTAGGTAATTTTGCAGTTATTCCTTTCATATAGGGATGTGTATAAGAGGAGTATGTACATGACAATAATTTAAATATAACTTGCATCAGTTAAATAATTGAAGATAGTTAAAGTTATTTAAAAAATAATTGCTGTCGATAATTTGACAGGCGCTCATGTGTTTTCTTTATAATATTCGTACGGTACTGTTTTATATATTTTTACAATTTTATTGTTAATCTTATCATTATATTATAATATAATTGTATTTTCAATTTTTATTGTCAAAGAGCTATCTATGAGGGATTATGAAAAACATGAATATTTCAAGCCATAGTGAAAATTATAAATTAACGACATTGCCATCTAGCGACGAAAATATAAAACTATAAAATTGGCCGTAATCGTTGCTGTAGGCTAACAAAATATCAAGCACTTGTTTGCGAAATACTAATTACCAGTATTACTAAATTACTAACTATGGTTTTCGCAATCGAATACGTATTGTATGAACGTAAAACGGTGTCAGAACGTAAAAACCCAGCCTGTTTGGTGGTGTGATATAGTAAGTAGCTGTCAGAAGGTTACTTTAATTATATATGTATGTTATTTACTTGTTTTAGCTATACAAACCTACAGTACGAGGAAAACTCAAGATGAACAAATGCATATTGGTCTACACCAAGTACAAAAAGCTTTGTCTGCACATAGCTTATAGTAATAGAAAGAGCCAGATTGTAAAATAAATTGCAGTTGTTGCGTTTGAGCATAGGAAAGTTAATATTTATAAAGAACCTTGGAAAATATGAAGTACCTTACAGTTGTAAATACCTATTTAAATATTTATCTCTATTTAAAATACCTACAATAATATTATTGTTGACATAATAAAATTTACCTTATTTTAGACTTTGGCGTTGCAATTCAAGTCTCCATTTAATATAAATAAATGTTTTTTTAATATGCAGTCAAAGAATTTAATTCGCTTCCCACCTTGGATCAAACCTACAACAAACTACAAAAGAGATATTTTTATCATCATCAGCTCACTACACGTACCCACCGAGGGGCTCGGAGCCTACCCTAAGTTAGGGGTGACTAGGCCATAGTCAACCATGCTGGCCAAGTGCGGGTTGGTTGACTTCACACATATCTTTGAATTTCTTCTCAGATATGTGCAGGTGGCATCACGATGTTTTCCTTTACCGTAAGAACGATACAAAGAGATAATTTACCACGAATCTATGTTTCTATAGCAAGCTTGGAACCTTAATATATTGTGGGCGTCAAATGACATTTAAACGAAATGGGTTGTAAATAAACTTCCTTCACTATACCCTGATCAGTATCCTTACGTAGATACAAAAAGTAACATTAAATTAGCCTTACACAACTCGATGTCATTAATTCCCGCGAATTTTGTGAAATCGACAAATTATATTGGCTTTTACATTACGAAACAAAAATTATTGGATAGCGTACCATCTTAATCAAATAGCTTAAGCTCGCTACACACTTTCAGTTTTAACTATACAACTTCGTATCTAGGCTAAACTGAGACAGCTTAACTGAACAGTTCTATTGATCAGTTAAAACTGATGGTGTGTAGGCGGCTTAAGTTATTTTGAGACAAATTAATAAATGTCTTTGTAGATTTTACGTAAACACAGATTCTTACATTCGGTTTCCAGTGCAGAAATACTTTTAAAATAACTAATTATTAATTAAAAAAAGAACAAAAACATGATTGGCTGTAGCCTAATTACTTACTTCTCTCTCTCTCTCTGGAACAGCGACCCAAGAGATCTCCAGCGCCGCCTGTTCTCAGCTGTCTCCTGCCAATCGCTTTTAACTAACGGAGGTCCAGTTCCACAATGTCTTTCCTCCAGTATCTGGGCCGGGTAACAGGTCAGCGACCAAGGGTGATTCCGAGGTTTGTTGTTTGGTGCTCCGATCTTCTTCCATCTTTAGGTTTCCTACCCAACGGAGTCTCTGAGCTTTAATTCCTCCTTTAATAGTCGATTCGCCAACCATCCTCTTTCCCTGCGTCACCTACGACAGTATTTTCATACTAAATACCCACATACACACAAAAACACTGATGAAATAGATAAATATAAAAACGTTAGGAAAAACTCATAAAAAATGAAGTTATGGAAGATTTTTAATCGAAAGATTAACAAGAAAAATTAAAATGCTATGGTCATAAATGTTCTTATTTATGTGATATTGACGTATGTAGGAAATCCACAAAATGCCATGTTTATGTAAAAAAAAAATTAAAGACAAGTAATAAAAATTAATAGTAACCAATTTTATATCGAGGAAACGAAACGAACTTTGCCGCTCACTGCCCTTCGGGTCTTCGATAGGATATTGTTGTTCAACATTTTCTCACCATTACTTTATAATGGGCAAATTCAAAAATCTGTGGACCGATATCAACAATTCATTCAACATTAGAAAGGTAACCCTAAAATAAATTTCCATTTATCCGAAGACGGTATAATTCACAAAAAAATATTTAAAAAATCAACGTTTGTGTACGCCCTATGAAGTCCTAAACTATAATTTAATTTATAATCCAAAATCTTACCTTAACGTGTACTTTGTTGTGCAAACCATTATTGTCTGTGAGTGTTTCAATTTATCATTATAGGATTATAATCGGTAGTAATTTTAACAACGAAGTCTTGTACATAATTGTAAATGGTAAGTAATGCTGCTGTGTTACATTTCAAAAACCGATAAGTATGGCTAATTATTGTAAAATGTTAAAATAATCTTGTCTTCTTTTTTAAAACGTAACATTTACACTAATTTCCACACTAAACAAACTACACTTCATTATAATAATTTAACATGATACCTAACCTGCCAGTAACATAATATTTCTACTACATTAAAAACTTTTTATAAACCTACCTCTTTTTTCAAACATCTTTTGTCAGTTGAATTTACTACTGTGAAATTCCGTTACAACATATTTTTGTCGAAAGGTATTTTATTCACGTCCTTTAAATTACTTTCCCTTAAATGCCCTTTACATTACAAGACTCTTACTTTACACAAGAAAAGGTTAAACTGAACAAAGAGCAGGTAGCTTTAATAAACCAAATTAAATTGATAATAATGTATAATTGAAACTATGATAAATCCGCAATGGCTTGACAAATATCAAAATTCAGTTTACATATGGCAATACTGATTAACAAAGCTAAAGCACATTAGAAACTGTCAAACATTTTGTCAAAATTTATTTGTTTGTCAAGTTTTTTGTTACTATACGGCATCGTTTGTTTGTTCATTTTCTTTTTTTCTTTTAATAAATCCTATGAGTAATTTTTATGGTTACAGAGTTATTGAGGATTATATATAGGTAAATATCCTTTATTAAACCAATTTTGTAAGGACAAACAATCAAGCGATTTGCGTGTATACTTGTCCATTAGCTTCAAACTAAGATACATTGACATATGTGTATTCAGTGCAGGTGTGACCTAGTTGCTAGGACTTTACTTTCATAGTTATTGACGATTGCGATAAGATCTATAACTGTCTGTTAAATCTATTCATTTTAAATGTCCTAGGTATAATGTGACAAGCTTATTTGAGCCAATAAGAGGCTCTGCTGTCGCAGTTTCTTTTAACAGGAATTCATCAGCATTTTGAATGCTGGCAGTCTTCAACCGTACGGTTGCAGTAGTATTTCCAAACCACGACCACTTAAGTTCACGAAGCAAGTACACCTAGTGTTGTGGACGTCCATGAGTGTCGGTGACCTCTATTCATTAAGGATCCAACTGTTCGTTCGCTTTACACTTAAAAAAAATAATTACATAGCGCTATGCTTTGTTACGCTATGCTTGCTCGATATGCTTCTTTTTAACATTCATCCAGTTGAGTATATATGAGAATATTTACTTGCAGCAGAACATCGAGACGCTTTATATGTTTTAGTTATTACCCCTCCACGACCAGACGTCTTTTGGTATTCATTCGTAAGAAGGTTGTATTACATAGAAATGCACCGGAAAATGATTAAAACGAAAAAACCTTTAAAAGATCAATGTTAAACAATCGATCAACTGGAGAATCTTTTAGATTTACAATATCAGTATACACATACTAGGAATGTTATTCAAATTACCAGCTACTCATAGACGCATCTGCTAATATTTATTATGAATACACATTGTCAGGGTCATTTACTGGGTCATGCTTGATGTATTCTGGGTCAAAATCACCAGATGCAATACGATATTGGCCCGTAAAAGTGACGAAACATAAACTTGGTCGTAAGCCTAACCGGTCTTTAGTTTGTGCAGTTGTTTTCAAAAACATATTACAAGTAAACTTTTAAGATGTCGCTAATAATAAGTAAACATCAAATAGCCTTGTGTACAAAATATAAGTGTTTGATTTACTTGACTTAAAGTCATATGTCCTCGTAGTGGGGCAGAGGGCGTCCACAATGCCTACATAGTTCTATGGATTATGAAATATAAGTGTTTAATTCTGTAAAAATTAACTAACTAGGGTGACGTAACTACGTAAATTCATTCATTCTCCACAATTCTGTAAAGCAATGTATGATTTTTTTAATTAAGAAAAAAATACACTTAAGGTGTGTTTTGTATTTTCCAAAGTCCCGCGAAAACAAGATAACTTGACATTATGTCTTCACTGACGTCACGTCGTGATGTAGAGTAGAATAGTTTCTCTATGTTGTTGTGGTACTGAATTCTGGACTATGAAAATATCAACAATAAATGCCGTCCACGGCGAGACGTCACGCTTCCTGATTTAGACGTAGAAATATTTTATTTTAATTTCTAAATACATTATTAATCTTTTTTTTTTCATTAACAAGTATTGTTGCTTTTTTATCTTATTTAGGGTAGGTTTTCACTGTGCATAAAACATATTGTCACATACCTTTTAAAAAAATAGAGACTTCAAAATATAAATATTCTGACTTAGCTCCGCTAATGGATAGATAATTCCCCATAACCCCGTATCTGACCGTAACTTAAGGCCTATTTAAATAACCCTTTATCTTTTTATAATTAAAAAATATTTAAAAATATAAGCTGAAAGGCAGAAAAAAAGAATGGTCCTAAATTTAACATCAATACGGTACAAAAACACAATATGGAAATAACGTTTTTAATAAACAATTAAATGTCAATACTTGTGTTTGTTACAATTTTAAAGGTTACAACAAGAATGTTTTAAATAGTTACAACTATCGATTTTAAAACTTTATCAAAATATTATGAATGTAAATTACCAAATCTACTACTAAGCTGAAAAAAATGTGTGAAAAAAGTTATTAATTATGAAGTTACAAAGTAAACTAAACTAACTACTAAATTTTGCTGCTTACTTCTTATTTCTTACTTTTAAAAGCGACAATTTTGACGAAGATTATCTTATATACTTTGTATATTACAGAAGTAATTTGTCAGTACTTTCGCCTTCCAATCTAGATTAGTTTTTTATTGTTATTCCGAACTTTTTATGTAATTTATTATATCTTTAGGTCAGATTATTTTGAAGCAAAAATCCTTGCAAAATTAAAAATAAATTATATGAGATGAGCAAAAATTGTTCATGATCGATTATTGTATAGGTCTCCAATGACTTCCGATAGCAATAAGATAAGCAGTAGATAATTAACAAACGTTTAAATCTTACTAATACTATAAATTAGATAAATGAATCTCTCTGAAATTTGGCATAGATGTAGAACATAGTCTGGAACAACACATAGGCTACTAATTAAGTTCGTTTTTTTATTTCGAAGAGTTACGGGCGGCAGCTAGTCAGTTATCAAATTGGATATACATATCAATTTATGAATTTTCATTGTTTTACAAAATTAACTGTTTTTAAATTAAGATACTGCCCTGATGCGTCGACCTTTAGTAAACATGAAACAAAGCAATACACTTTCACTAAGACATTGTGTGAACGTCCTCTATCAAACCTATTATATTATAGTTACACCCATAACTTAGCCTACCCAAGCGCCTTTGAAGGCCTCCAAGCCCCGCGGTGTAGACGAAACCGACGATAGTTATTTGCTAGAAAATTTGGCAACATTAATAAAAACATAATAAAGTTAACTCTTATCAAACCGCGTCGTACAAATACCAAAGAGATAATGTGATCTTTTCACATTTTACACAACGTATAAAACATCGAATATTATCAAGATTGATTATTCCTTGCGACATTCACCAATCGTATAGTTTGCAAAATTCTGCCAAACATTCACGAGACATCGGATGATGAAAGAGAAATGCAAGACATTGACCTGCAAATGAATAATTTTATGACATATTTCTACGTCGACATAAAATTATAATTGCGTAAGTAAAATCCATCAAATAAAGTTCCTAATTATTCTTTTTTATTCCTACCCTTTTCTTGGATTTTCAACGTAATGCAATGATCCCGTTCGTGATCCAGCCGTGTCGTTACGATGAAGCTCAGTAAGTATGGCATATCGAAACTTAAAGGAACCTAGGGCCGATCCGTGGGGCACAACCGGTCGAGATGGGCTCCAGTGCGTCCGCCTTGGAACCATGCTGTTGTATGCGGGGAAGGCAGTCCTTCGTAAAGGTGGAATCGCGGTGCATGACTATCCTTATTCTACTCATCTGGGTCGCACCATTGATATATAGGCTGTGGCGGGGTACACTGCATATCTGCTTGTTGTAATCGACAGCAGAGCCAAAGACGTAAGATAAGCATTTAGTAAGATTTTTTGATTTTTTAAATTATTTTCCGTTCATGTCCATACTAATTTCGTAAGTGTTTAATAAGTTGTTTAACAAGCTTGCAATCATTCCCAGAATGGCAATGGTCGTGACAATGATGAATCCGTGTTGCACAACCCCCTCAAAAGAAGCGACCGAAAAAAAAAAACAATAAATTTCACTCCTCCGATCCGCATACGCAATAAAAATACGCAACATGAACTCTCGTAACTGTAAAATGTCTAGTAATTTCATTGATATTTTAAAAAAATGTCATCAATACTTTGGGTTGAGGTGAAACATGGCTCGATAATTAGGGTCGCTTCTTTAAGTCATCAGTTAGTACGATAAGACGGTGAGTCGTAGTCAAAGATTGAGTCGTTCTCTCGGACTCGCATAGTTCCAAGATCATGCGCCATTCTCTGTCGGGATGTCGTAGTCAACGGTTGGAATAACAAATTCTTCTGTGATTATTTTTTTTTTTTACTTTTTGTGACGTGTTTATTCAGTTGTATTTGTGTGTGATTTAATTTTTGTGTGATATTTTCAAAGCAGTAAGTTTATTAATTTTTTTTAAATTTTTTTGGAAAAGATTTTTTATGTTATTGAATATTATAATTTTTTAAATATTTATTTTTACATTTTATATATACACTTTTTTTATTAAACATAAATAAAATATATTAGGCGGTCAATTTGAACATTTGCTTTTTTTAGTTTTTATAACACCCTCAAAAAAAAATTGAAAATAATCTTGATTTTTTTTGATAAACGTTTTATCAATATATTTTGTATATACAGATAACATTGTTCTAATTATCAACAAAAATACATAAGCAGACAATGTTTGCAAAGTTTTAATTCTCATTGCACAACCGTTCATATAATTATAGCTCTTATTTCAAGGTGACACGGTCTTGAATGGCAAGTGTTGCACAACCAAACAAGAATCATACGAGACACGTTGTTGCAATATGCAATTTTTTTGATAAGCCGTCATTTTATGTTATAACACGGCTATAATAAATTTCATTGTATTAAAATTGGTATCATAAGATAAAATATAGGTAAAAAAACACATCAAATTTTATTACATTAATCAACTCTGCATCTAAATATAATATAGGTTGTTTATTTTTATATTTAAAAATCTAAATTATGCAATAGGTTAATAATCGGATCTAAAGGTTAACATATTAAATCAAGTTTAAGTTAAAATTTGGAATGAAAACTGTTATAAAAAAACTATATAAAAATGCATTTGGCTTTAACTGAAAGTGTGTAACTTTAGCATGATCCAAATAATTTATCACAATTAAATGCATCTAATTGATAAATAATTATCGAAAATATATGAGAAGTTTGATATTATTATAAAGATTATGTGTACAGATAAATCTTACTAATATTATAAATTCGAATGTTTGGATGAATGTTTGTTTGAAGGGATCTCCAGAACGGCTTAACGGATCTTGAAATTTGCCATAGGTGTAGAACATAGTCTGGACGAACAAATAGTCACTACATAAGTTTTTTTTTTAATTCCACGCGGACAGTGTCGCGAGCGACAACTAGTGTAATTTCTTTTTAAAGCTACGTAATAATATGGATGGATTCCAGAGATTATAAAAACAATTTAGCAAACAAAAACATATGAATAATGCATAATGCAATGATTAAAACAAAGGGACTATCACGAATATATGCGATATGCGTTTTCGTAAAACCTTCGATACGTTGAATTTTGTATGAGATATATACTTTACACCCGACAGTGGTATAAATGTAATATAAAATTTAGTCTATAATATTACGAATATTTTTTCGCAAGTGTTCGTACAAGGCATCCTGAAGTAAATGTTACAATGGAATCTATATGTGATTTAAAATTTCCGCTCATATCATTTGTTCCAGTTTCAAAAAAAAATGGCAAACGTCTTCTTCAAATTCTTCTACATATTGACAACGGCTTCGTTTGTTTCTTCTTAAGCACTTTATAGTTTTAAATAACCTAATATCGATTTTAACCCTTGAAATAATAACAAATAGAAATTATAAAAAAATAACAGTCACCCGTAACTTTATCCGTGAGGAGGAATTTAAAAAAGATATTTAATTATTTACATTGTTAAGCTTTCACGTCAATTTTCAAGGAATTCTGCGAATGAAAAAAACATTTCTCGACAGAAAGTTACATTCCTTTCGACTTTTAGACTATGAATTTATGAATTTCTTTTCGTGATGCTCGAGGAAGTATTCGTAATAACAAATTTTTTTTTGCAAATCTTATATATAAAATTCTCGTGTCACAATTTTCGTTCCTATACTCCTCCGAAACGGCTTGACCGATTCTCATGAAATTTTGTGAGCATACTGAGTGTCGGTCAACATCTATTTTTAATCCCGCGCGGACGGAGTCGCGGGCGACAGCTAGTTTTATTATAATTTCCTTTCTCACAATTTCCATAAAATATCAATATTTTAATTATTTATGAAAATCTAATACTAATTAATCATAAACCTGTCACAATATAAATAAAATATTGTAATATTTAATGTATTTTGCAATGGCTTAAGTAAATTCAGTTTTGTAAGTTTCGTATGTGTATTTGTATAAATTATTTTAATGAGTTAATTACACAATGTTCTTACATTAGTAAGAAAGAAATAATGAAACAATATAATATATAACTTGTAACAAATTTTACATAGAAATCTTGTTATATAAATCTTTCTCGGACACCAGGATTATTCCTTGAAAAAGACTTCTAGAATATTGCGTCACGAAGACTATTTTTCGTCTTTGTTTTGGCAACATATATATAATATCAATCAAAAAGCGTCAATAGCGTAATGGTTAAGGATACGCATTTCCGATCACGAGGTCGGGGGTTCGAATCCCGCCATTCGACTATTGTCGTAAACCATATCCTAGCACAAGCCTAGAGCTTAGTTGGAATGGTAAAAGAAATATTAGTAAATTTCCAAAAAATCTGCAAATATTTTTCTAAAAAAAAAATATGTATATTAGTTAAAGTTAGTAATAAAAATAACTTCATTTAAAGTACTAAAAACAACACAAACTATTCGTTAAGACGATTCAAACGGACCCAAACTCGATTAGCTTAGGATAGCTTAATTGCATAGTTTCAATGGTCATTTTCACGGAAGAAAACTTAATTAGATTACGAAGTTGGTTAAAACAGAACACAAGTAAATACCGGAACATTAAACCTTATATTGTATAACAATTATAAAATAACTTTTAAATAATCATTAGGGCAGAGATAAGTGCAAGTCTTTGATGTAAAATATGCTAAAGGTCATAGACCTTTGCCTAACGCATTTGTTGAATATTTTAAAGCACAAACAGCCTAATGCTCGAAGTGACAGATTGCAAAACATAAGATCTTGAGTTTGACGCCACCATTATATTTTTTTTCACATGTGTCTAGAATGAAATATAATATTCGAAGACTCAACTAAATATAAAAATAATTGTGATGTCCTAACGGAATAAATCTTTAGCGGGCCTACATTGTACAGCCCTGCACAGAAATTATCCAATGTCATTACAACAAACAAGCTTAAATGATGTACCACGAAACTGCTTGAATCTTTTTACCGACTGCATTTTAAGGGGAAAGTGTTACGGCATACTATACAATGGTCATGGTTGCGAAGATTTCGAAAGGGACATAAAAACATTCGGTTTACAAAGGCCATAAGTTCTTATTTATATATGGTAAGGAATTGTTAAATGTGTACATGATAGAGATTTTTTAATTTTATTTTTAAAAAAAATAATATTGAATGAAATGTTATCATAATGTGGATACAATATTCAATTTTAAATTACAAATTGATGGGTCGATGTTTGTTAAAAGGTATCTCCAGAACAACCGAATCTCGCTAATATTTGGCATTTGATCATAGTCCGAGAGAACATATAGCCTACTATTTTTTTTTATTACGGAATCTCTGGCGACTGCTAGTAATATGGTAAATGCAATAGTTTTAATGGATGTATATTCATATAACTTTTTTTGTATATCACAAGGTGGCAAACGAGCGAGCGGCCACCTAAAATCGCTGAAATAGCGAAGTGACTCCAGAATAGTTAAACGGATTTGAATTTGGAACAAAATTACACTCTGGAACACATATTTCGAAGTCACATCCAAAAGCTAATATCTAAATATTTCACCGGCGAATACAAAATATTTTACGCGGCAACATTGATATTGTATAAAGTGGGCCCCTAACAACACATTGCGTGAAATTCACACTATCATTCAAATTAAACGAACAAATTATTTTTAAATTTTTGTTGACTTTGACACACAAAATGGGGGCCTAGCACGAATATTTGCGACAAACGCCTTTTATCATCATCGTCAATTATGTCAAAATTAGTATAAGGTTTTTGATGGGCTTTATGCCCAACAGGGTGCTTTTTATCGATGACAACAATGGCGACGTTTGCTACAATCATTCGTGCTAGGCCCATAGATAGTGAATAAAGCATGAAGACACTATTTGTCTTTGCTATTTCTTAATATAGAAAGTATCATTCAACATGTTTTGTTGCATTATAACGGACACGCGCAACTTATTACAATCAACTCAACTATGTTTGGATAACAACAATTAGCAGTTCTAAAAGGAAACTATGAACGCTTATAATCTGTACGCATTGGAATTCATAGTCATCGGCTTCTTCAACCGAAACACTTGCCGTATTACTCCAAAAATACAGTTAACCATTGTGTAGATAAACGTATATGTAGTTCCAAAACTGCTTCCAAGTACTTTGTTAATTATTTGTCAGGATGGTATTTCGGAAGTCTACGAAATACCATTTTTTTATATTTGTCTGCCTGTCAGTCTGCAAGTCTGCGCATGTACCGGGTAATCTCCGAAACGACTGGACTCATTTTGCCGGGACTTTTTATGGAATATAGCTAATATGTGTATTTTTCTTTAATTCCATTCTGACCAAGTTGCGGACAATGCCATGTTTTCAATATAAGTATTCGTAAGATTCACCATGACAAGCCTACATTAATTTACACGTGGCAGAAAACTGCGATGTAATGGTACAAATAATGAGGAAGGTTATATTTGTGTTAAATATTTTTTTAGACTACCGCAAAAATCACTCAGACGTGTAACATGACATCGGTAAATAATAGAGACTAGCTAATTAAAATAGTGACAGTCGGTGGCTCAGGGGTTAAAGCACTTGACTTGTAATCTGCAAGTCCTAGGTTCGAATCTCGCCATGTACCAATGTGTTTTCTATTTTTGATTTTCATATGTACATTTATCCGACGATCATACGGTGAAGGAAAATATCGTGATGCAACCTGCACTTATCTGAAAAGAAATTCAAAGATATGTGTGAAGTCAACCAACTCACACTGGGCCAGCGTAGTTGATTATCGCCTAATCACCCATAACTTAGGGTAGACATATAGTGAGCTGATGATGATGATGATGATGATGAATTAAAATAGTTTAATACCAATTAACGCATTAATATGAATTATTA